GAAGGGGAATAGCTGGGTCAAATGGTGGCTCCATTCCCAGCTTTCCAAGAAATCTCCATACTGCTTTCCAAATTGGCTGCACCAATTTGCAGTCCCACCAGCAATGTACAAGTGTACCCTTTTCTCCACATCCTCGCCAGCACTTGTTGTTGTTTGACTTCATAATGGCTGCCAATCTTACTGGAGTGAGATGGTATCTTAGGGTGGTTTTGATTTGCATTTCTCTGACTGCTAGAGATGGTGAGCATTTTTTCATGTACTTGTTGATTGACTGTATGTCCTCCTCTGAGAAGTGTCTGTTCAGGTCCTTGGCCCATTTGTTGATTGGGTTGTTTGTTATCTTATTGTCTAATTTTTGGAGTTCTTTGTATACTCTGGATATTAGGGCTCTATCTGAAGTGTGAGGAGTAAAGCTTTGTTCCCAGGGTGTAGGCTCCCTATTTACCTCTCTTATTGTTTCTTTTGCTGAGAAAAAACTTTTTAGTTTGAGTAAGTCCCATTTGTTGATTCTAGTTATTAACTTTTGTGCTATGGGTGTCCTATTGAGGAATTTGGAGCCCGACCCCACCGTATGTAGATCGTAGCCAACTTTTTCTTCTATCAGATGCCGTGTCTCTGATTTGATATCAAGCTCCTTGATCCATTTTGAATTAACTTTTGTGCATGGCGAGAGAAAGGGTTTCAGTTTCATTTTGTTGCATATGGATTTACAGTTTTCCCAGCACCATTTGTTGAAGATGCTATCCTTCCTCCATTGCATGCTTTTAGCCCCTTTATCAAATATAAGATAGTTGTAGTTTTGTGGATTGGTTTCTGTGTCCTCTATTCTGTACCATTGGTCCACCCGCCTGTTTTGGTACCAGTACCATGCTGTTTTTGTTACTATTGCTCTGTAGTAGCCCGGCTCCTCCCCTCTGGCTCGAAGAGAAAGCGAGAGAGACTCAGGTGTCTGTGACTCATCCTCCCTACCAGGAGACCAACTGTTTCTGTCGCCACTGGTATTGATGAAGTTCTCTCCTCCGCCGCTTTCTGATGACATCAGATCTCTGCCATGTTGGTATCCTATGCGAATGGCAGCATTTCGTTCCCTTTAGCGGGTGGCCAAAGCAACGTGTGAGTCCTGACCGGCCCTCACAGGCCCCGTCTCAGTCTTGTTGCCACTGCCCACGAAGGCTCGGTTGGTATTTACCTCCACAGTACTCAGCAGGACCCAGACCGAGAAGCAGTTTCCGCGGGCTCCTTAGCCCTGGGCCAGAGCAGTTCCGGGAGCCGGAACTCAGCCGCTCTGTGCTCGGTGTATGCTCTGATAAGAGCAGGCTCCAAGAAGCAGTTTCCACGGGTTATTTAGCACTGAGCCTGAGTAATCTGTCTGCAAGCCGCAGGCGAATGGCAGCCTGAAATTACCTGTTCTATGGCTGAATGAGCTGCGGTCAGTCGAAAACAGGGATGGTGACGTCAGCTCTCCAAGATGGTGGCCGCTGGCCTCCTCTGTGATCTGACCGGTGTGGAGAACCGAATTGGACCGCCTCCTTCCCCCGTCTCGAACCCAGAATTCAGCACTGAGTACGGTGCTTGCACGGCTGGCAGAAACTGCAGAGCTGTATCCCTGCGTCGCTATCTCCTCGTTTCCCTGCCCGTGCTGCAGACTCTAGCCGTGGCGCGATTTGCTGAATAAGCAGTGTTACCCTCCGTGCGACAAATCTCTCGCGTTTGAGTCCCCGTAGCCGATCCTCGTGCGATGGAAATCCTTCCTCCAGGTTCCGGAGCACCCCACTATTGCTGGAAATTCCTAAAAAGATAGCCTTTAGCAGTCCTGACTCGTCATTCTCCCACACAGTGACGCGGCACACGGGGGCAATGCACTCCCCTCGCCGCCATCTTCGTGACTTCGATATTTATGATTGTTATGTCTTGTTGATGTATGATTCCCTTAAGCAATATGTAATGTATTTCTTCTGACTAACTTTGGTTTGAAGTCCACTTTATCTAATATTAGGATGGAAACCCCTGTGTGTTACGTGGCCCATGTGAGTGATATGTTTTTTCCCATCCTTTCACCTTCAGTCTGTGGATATCTTTTCCTGTGAGTCTCTTGAAGGCAGAATATTGTTGGATCTTTTATTTTTTTTAATTCAATATGTCAGTCTATGTCTTTTAATTAATGAGTTTAGGACATTAACATTCAGGGTTATTATTAAGACATGGTTTGTGTTCCTGGTAATTTTGGTTTATTTTTGGTTTTTGAGTTGATTTCTCCTTTTATTGGATTTTCCTTTAGTGTACTTCCTCCCTTTGCTGATTTTCATTGTTGTTTTTCATTTCTTCATGGAATTTTTTTTTTTTGCCAAGAATATTCTGTATGTAGTGCAGGCTTTGATTTTTGTTTATCATGGAAATTTTTTACTTTGTCATCAAATCTGAAACTTAATTTTTCTGGATATAAGATTCTTGGTTGGCATTCATTTTCTTTCAGAGCTTGGTATTTGTTGTTCCAGGATCTCTTAGCTCTGATAGTCTGTGTTGAGAAATTTGCTGAGTTCCCCTTATGTAATTTGAAACTTTTTTCTTGCAGCTTTTAAAATTCTATTTTTATTCTGTATGGTAGGTATTTTCATTATAATATGCCTTGGTGTAGATCTGTTGTAATTTTGTACATTTGGTGTTCTGTAAGCCTCTTGTATTTGGTTTTCCAATTTGCTCTTCATGCTTGGGAAATTTTCTGATATTATTTCATTGAAGAGATTGTGCATTCCTTTTGTTTGTATCTCTGTGCCTTCCTCTATCCCAATAATTCTTAGATTTGGTCTTTTCATGTTGGCTCATAATTCTTGAAGGTTCTGTTCATGGTTTCTCACCATCTTCACTGTGTTGTCAACTTTATTTTCAAGATTATATATTTTGTCTTCATTGCCTGAGATTCTGTCTTCCAAGTGATCTAGTCTGTTGTTGATGTTTTCTATTGAATTTTTTATTTGATTTATTGTATCCTTCATTTCAAATATTTCTGACTTTTTTTTTCAGGGACTCTATCTCTCTCTTGAAGTAATCTTTTGCTACCTGTATTTCCTCTCTTATGTTTTTGTTGGAGTGGCCAATTGTTGCCCTTATTTCCTTTCTTAATTCATTCTTTGCTTTGCAGATCATTTTAATTATGCACATTCTGGACTCCTTCTCTGATACTTCATCTACTGCACAGTTAATAGAATCTATTATTGCATCAGCTTGGTTTCTTTTGGGCAATTTCTGAATATCTTCCTCTCTAGCAGTATCCATTCGAGGTATTACAGTTTCTATTTTATAATCTTGGAGTATCCCTACAGGTTACCAGTACCTTGCCTACAGGAACCAGGATAATGGTCTTGTAGGTCCTGGCTGTTGTCACTAGATGGAAGCTGGAGAGGAAGCTGAAGCTACCATGTTGGTAGATGGGGTTGCTCTACTGCATGCAGTGGGCCGGGGTCACAGTCCTCTGCTGCTCCTCCTTCTGCACAGCAGGTGGCTGAGAGAATGTTTTATAAAATTAGTGTTGATTTTGTTGGCTTTCCTAGTATTCACTTTCTGCATGTCTTTTGGATCTTGGGTTCATTTGTTTGTTTTAAATGGCATCTTTCTGTGTCTCTTTTACTTCCCCTCCCTCTCCTCCTTTGTGCACATATCTCCTTTCTGGTTGTTTTGTGGAGGTATCACCTGCATCCCTACAACATGGTATAATGTGCATCGCCTTGTCTAAAAATGGCAATGAATGCTTCTCAGCATGGTGGTACATACTTGTCAGCAATTAGATCTTGTCCCAAAATAAAACAATAAAAATGTCTGGGGATGTTGCTCAGTAGTAAAGTGCCTCCGGATTCAACTCCAGTACCCCCCCACCCCAAACAACAACAACAACAATGAATGGCTCCCTGCTTTCAGTTGTGCTGTGGATTTAAGCAGTGTGCTCAATTTTGTAATTGTGAATAAAATAATAAGCTTTTATTGAGTTCTTACTACATGCTAGTTACTCTTCTACATATATTGTCTCACATAATGCTCATAACAACTCTGTGAGGTAGGTAAAAACTACAATACAATGATGAGGACCACAAAGATGACCACACGCCCTTTAAGTAAAGTAAGGCATGGCAAGGTTAAGTAATGTCTTTAATAAAAACAAATGAAGCATTTAAATGAATAAATTATCCTTAATAATAGTAAACTGAGACCCAACTAATCAATGTGCTAAGTTATTTTCTTTCTGAATAATATTAACTCATGACTCAGGTTAATGTAACATGCTTTGTAGTTTGTATAATTATAACTTTTAGTTCTGTGGATAAACACTCACCACCCTTAAAACTCACTGGTCCCTTAAAAGGCATGTATGACCTTGGGGAAATGATGTTATCCAACAGACTGGAGTAGATCCAGAAAGTTGATATCTACTAACACATATCCCATTATTTTTGATTCTCATGTTAATCTTTCTTATACTTATTTCATGCATGAGGAAGTAGAGATTCCTGGAGTTAAAGATTGCTTAATATGTTATATTATGACAGAGTTGGAATCAGGAGTTAAAATATGTCTTCTTATTGTTTTTTTTAAATTAAAAAAATTGTTTTTTAGTTGTAGATGGATACAATACCTTTACCTTATTTTATGTGGTGCTGAGGATCAAACCCAGTGCCTCACACATACTAGGCAAGCATTCTGACACTGAGCTACAGCTGCAATCCCTTTTTATTCTTTTTTAAAAAATATTTATTCTTCAGTTTTAGGTGGACACAATATCTTTATTTTACATTTATGTGGTACTGAGGATTGAACCCAGTGCCACGTGCATGCTAGGCGAGCGCTCTACCACAGAGCCACAACCCCAGCTCTCCCTTTTTATTCTTAAATGTCTTTGTGTGTGTGTGTGTGTGCATTTTCTCCATACCATGGTGAAATACTTCTAAGGAAATACCCAACTCCTAAATGAAATAAACAGCTCTCTTCCTCAACTTCTTTATTGTTTACAGAGATATTTACAGCTATGTTAGCGACCTCTGAAAGGGACTTGATGTGGGATATCACAGGAAGGAACATCAAGAAATTTATGGATGCCCTCCAAGTTGCTGGTGAGGTGAGGATGTTTCAGATACCTTCCTGGCTCCAGCCAGGGCAGGACCACCTCCACCAAAGTAGTGGGTTGAGCACATAACCACTATACAAGGAGGATGGGGAGAATTTCTAATCAGCAGAACACTACATGGTCTCCAGTCCATTCACAGCTCCAGGCCTGGTTTCCATGTCCTTGGTCTGACCCACACCTCTACACAAACCCTGACCCAGCTTTAATCCACTCCCTAGGTCCGCTCTTCCTGTTCCTTTCTCTACCAGGGATTGTTATCCATTTTACTATTTTCACCCTTCAACATTACTTTCCCCTTGAGTTCTCTCTTTCCTACAGGTATCAGCTGATAATGTCTTAGAAACTCTCAAGCTATTAGAAGTCAAAATCTTAAATAATAAAATGTCAACTGCACTGTGCCAGAAGGTGACAGATACCATCATCACCTACCTGAAGATGTTGGTGAGGAGTCTATGCTTCTATGTCAGGGGAAAGGAAAGGTACAAGATCTGATCCCAGAAGTTCTCTTTTGGTGGCTTATTACATTTGGAAGCTAAATGGCACCTGGAATATGAGTAACTCAGGTTTCTAAAAAGTTTATTGGAGTCCATGTCTTGTATCCTAATGCATGTCAAGAATTGTGATCTAGGTAGTTTGAACATATAGCAATGGAGTGAAGTAATAGGCAGGACAAGTGAGATGGAAAGGGGGAAGGATTTGGGCTCTTGGCCTCAAGTGTGATCTTGTCCTCAGATTGTGACCTAAATCTCCTTCTAGGATGCTGTACACAGTCATCTTTGATACTGTAACTCAACTAATTATCTCAATCTGTTTACTAACTAACCTATTTACGACTACCCATCTGTCTGCTAGCCCCTTTATACTAAACTTGCATGTTGTCTATGTATCTATCAACTCACATTCATACTTTTATATTTACTTTTATGACCCTAGGTTAATCTGCTGCTTTATTTTCTTAGTTAACTATCCACCTATGAGGTGTTCTTCTTTTTCAGATAACCTGCCTTCCCCTGGCACACTTGTCTTCTGACCTAGACCTTGGATCTATCAGGGATTTTCCAAAGTTATTGCTTCTGTTCACATTTTATTGGTTAACTTTCTGCAGCAGAGAAAGCTCTGTACTCTGGAAACCCCAGTTCCCACCCCCACCACAAAATACTAGACAAGAGACTGTATAGACTTAAGAACAAGCTCTTGTTATCCATCATTAGAAACATGCGTATTGGCTGGGGTGTGATGTTGATATAAGTGAGTTCCTGCTCTCTTGATAGAATTGGTTGTTGACCAAAGCTGATTCTCAAAAGCCTGGGGAATGTTTCTTGGTTATTAACTTTGGCAGTTAGTTTTTCTTTCTTTCTAGAAGCCACATGGAGAACTGGAGGAGATGTGTACAGCAGTCTTAATGGCTGTGGGGTCCCACTTCCCAGGAATGATCATTGTCAAGCTGTGGGACAGACCTGATCTGCAGAGCCTGCCCCCAAGGAGCCTCTTGGTGGCAGTGGGGAAACTTAACCTCTACCAGGGTATGGATCCCTGTGATGGAGGAATTAATTTGATCAGAGGACAGGACATTGGGTGTGGGTCACTGTTAGGACCTGAGACTACCCTCATCACCATAGTTCTTCTCATGGAACAGCTCCACCTGGGTCAGGCTGAGGTTGTGTGTAGGGTAGGACTGGGACAAACCAGCATCCCTGAAGGGTGATGGGAACATAGGAGAGAGTTCTTGGAGACCAGGAATGGCATAGAAGGAAACATGTTAAGGCCTGGGAGCCTGGTTGGCTGAGGAGGACATTTAGGAACAAAGAAGGGAGTGAGCAAGCAGAGTAGAAAGTCCCCACTTGACAGAGGGAGTGGGGAGGTCATGAGGAATGTTTTGCTTGGGGAAAACTGGTTTTGAATTTGATTAGAATCTCATAAGATAATAGTGTCATAGTAGGATGAGGCAGGGAATCACCATAGAGTACAGTCTCCATCTCTGTGGCTCAGTAGCCAGTGGTGACTCAACCCATTCCATTCCAACCTTAATGAAAAATAATAAGTCACCAGGCAAATGACACCTGCCCTTTATTTACCACTTGTATCTGAAGTCAGAGACTGGAGGAAGTCAGCTTTTCTTATGGTACTGGCTTCAAATGATAGGGCATGTGGGTTGGACTACCCAGAAAGCTCAGAAAACATGGCAGTAAAAGTTGTGTCCTGATCTAATCCAGGCAGATGCCCCACATTGACCTCAGACAGCCCAGCTTTTTGTTGTTCAAGTTTCCTTGAAAAGGGTGTATTAGCAGGCTGTTTGGACTTATGGTGTAGTAGCAGCCATTATTAAGCTTTACCTTTCTTGTGAGTTCTGTGAGATAATCTCATCAGAAACTGTAGTTCTGTTTCACAGTGGAAGAAACTGAAGTCCAGATAAATTGTATCTAGCTCTAGGTTTCTCAGACTCTTTGGATGTAGATCTAGGGCAGAATCCAAGCCTTATGGCCCCTACTGTAGATTTTGTACACTATAGCTGGAAAGCTTACCTCCCTAGAATAGGCTCACCATTCCTTCTCCCTCTCAGGTACGATCACCTACATTGGTGCTACATGGAATTATATCCTGCGCTTGCTGAGGATGGCTGAGGAGGAGGAGGATATGTTGGTGATGTGTCATGGTGAGGCTCAGATGACCCTGGGGAAGGCTCTCTTGAGTCAGTATAGGAGGAAAGAAAGGCAGGAAAAGACCAGATAATGTGGATCCAAGTAGCCTGAGGAAAGGGCAGAAATTAGTGGGAATAGGACAGGGTGTGAACAGATGCTTGCTATCTCCTGGTTGGGGGCAAGAGCCAAACTTGATAGGAATGCTGTGGGTGCTTCTGGAGAACCAGCTATAGTTGGAAAAAAATATAGTTGGAGAGTCAGTGAGTGAATGGGTTGGTGTTTTCCTGCACAGGATTCCAGTGACCCTTTTAGGTTTGGGTATAGGAGGACTGTATTCTTTTGTGGGAAAGGAAAATTCAATGGGTAGCTGAAGTTCTGTGCTCCTCTCATAGTGCTCAGCAGATTGGTTGTCAGTGCCCGGAAGCATCTGGATATGGGCTCTAAGGATGGTGAAGAAAGGGACATAACCCCTGAGACAGTGTCTATCAAGGCCTACTGCACCCTTCGGGTTCTGTTCAACCGTTGGCCCCTGAAGAACATGAAGAAGGTGGGAGTGGGGGTAGTTGGGTTTGGGTTGATGGGATGAAGGATTGATGCTGAAGCCCAAACAGTGTCGTTAAGGAATAATGTCTGCCCCAAAAAGGAGAGTGATGTTTTTCAGTTACCTCTTCCCATTGTCCAGAAAAGGGGACAGTCAAAAAACCCTGTATGATCGCTGGGCATGGTAGTACACACCTGTAATCCCAGTGGCTTGGGAGGCTGAGGCAGGAGGATCGCGAGTTCAGAGCCAGCCTCAGCGAAAGTCAGGTGCTAAGCAACTCAGTAAGACCCTGTCTTTAAATAAAATACAAAATAGGGTTGGGGATGTGGCTCAGTGGTTGAGTGCCCCTAAATTCAATCCCTGGTTACCCCCCGCCAAAAAAAAACAAACAAAAAAAACCCCAAACCCATTCACTTTTTCATTAATGATGTAATTGTTATTTGCATTTACTAAATTCCTTCTGTTTGCCAGGCACTGTGCCAGGCTCCGGGAAGACAAACATGAATGAGGCAAAGCTACTGAGGACTTGTCCTGTCTTTATTCCTAAACTGAGGCCAGCTCATTTCATCTCCTTGTGCACAGGTAGCAGAGCAGGCTCTGGTGATAGTAGGCCATCTCTTCTTCCTCATGTCACCATACAAACTCAAGAACCAAGTGAACTGGTTAACACAACGGTTAATGACTTTGATGTCAGCAAGACTGAAGCCTTTCTACATTTCCCAGGTGACTGCAGTGTGGATGATAAGGAAATGGAATTAGTTCATGAAGTTCATGTATTGAACTTGGTAGCACATGGCCCACAGGCTAAATCTAGCCTGAAGCCTGTTTTTGAAAAATAAGGTTTTATTGGAACTTAGCTGTGCCCATTCATTTACATATTTTTTTATATATATTGTCTATTGCTGCCTCAGTGTTAAAAAACAGCAGAGTTGAATCGTTGGTTATAGAGACCCTATGGAAGACGTAGTGTGAAATATTTCTTGGAGCCAGGGGCTTAGATCAATGGTAGAGTGCTTTCCTAGCATGCACGAGGCCCTAGGTTTAATCCCCAGGACCATAAGAGGAAAAAACAAGACTATTAGAAAATATTTAAAATATACATATTTATTGCTTATCTGACCCTTTATAGAAAAAATTTGCTGTCCTCTGTGCTAATGCCCACTACATTCATTGAGTCACTAGTATATACTAGGATATGCAAGTGGAGGTAGAAAAATCACTTTTTTTCTATGGGGAAAAGGGAACTATGAGAAATACAGCCTAGGTGATAAATGCAATAATTAGAGGTTCTGTGTAAAGATAGGACTGAATTAAGGCCTTTTGGAACACAGAGAAGAAAAGATTAGTTCTGCATGCAAGAATTTAAGGCTTCTCAGAAGAGATGACATTTGAATTGTACCTCAAAGAATATGGATGGGCAGACCAAGTAAGGAAATTGAATCAGCAATGAAATCTCCCATCAAAGAAAGTCACAGGACCTGACGGCTTCCCTGATGAGTTCTACCAAACATTTAAAGAAGAACTAATACCAAGCCTTCTCTGATGTTTTTGTGCAAAAGAAAATCAAAGGAAAGGGAATACTTCCAAAATATGAGGCCAAAATTACCCTGATACCAAAACCAGGCAAGGATGTTTCAAGAAAAGAAAGTTACAGGCCAAATCCCTGATAATCAGAGGTACAAAAATACTGTACAAAATACTTGCAGATAAATTTCAACAGTATTTTAAAAGAATTATTCACCATTCTCAGGGAGGCAAGGATGGTTCAACATAACAGGATGCAGCACATGTTAACAAAATGGACAAAAACCTATTATCATCTCAATAGATGTAGAAAAAGCATGTGACAAAATTGAATGTTTTTACATGATTAAAAACTCTCAAAACTAGGTATATAAGGAATATACATAAATAAATAACATATATGACAAGTTTGTAGCTACTATCATACTCAGTGGTGAAAAGTTAAAAGTTTTTTCTAAGGTGCACTCCATGTTTGTCATAGCATTATTCATAATAGTTAAGATATGGATCAACCTATGTGTCAGCAGATGAGTAGGTAAAGAAAATATGGTATATATTATAGCAAGTGGAATATTATTCAACCTTGGAAAAAGGAAATCCTGTCATTTGTGGCAAAAGGGATAAACCAAGAAGACATTTCACAAAGCAAACCAAGCACAGAAAGATAAATACCACATGATATCATATGTGGACTCTAAAGAAGTTGAACTCATACAGAGTAGAATAGTGGTTGTCAGAGGTAATCTGGGAGATATTAGTCAAAGGCACAAAATGTCATTTAGACAGAAGGAAAAAGTTCAAAGAGATTATTGCATGACATGGTGATAATATATACATATATAAATAGTAATGTATTTCTGAAATGGCAGAGTAGATTTTTTAAGTGTTTTTACCAGAAAAATAAGCATATTGTGCATATATTAATTTGCTCAATTTAGCCATTCCACAGTGTAGACATTACAAAACATCCATGTTGCATACCATAGCATATACAATTTTTGTCAATTAAAAAAAAAAGACGGGGCTGGGGTTGTGGCTCAGTGGTAGAGTGCTTGCCTAACACACATGAAGCACTGGGTTTGATCCTCAACACCACATAAAAATAAAATTATCATGTCCATCTACTAAAACTTAAAAATAAATAAATAAATAAAAGAAACCCAGCAAAAAAAAGTATAGGCATTTTTTAATTTTAATTTTAATTTGTTATATATAATAGCAGAATGCATCACAATTCATATTACACATATACAGCATAATTTTTCATATCTCTGGTTGTACACAAAGTAGAGTTATGCCATTTGTGTCTTCATGCATGTTCTTAGGGTAATGATGTCACATCACTTCATTCTACCATCTTTCCTGCCCCCATGCCTTCCCCTCTCTCTCCTTTGCCCTACGTAGAGTTCATCTAATCCTCCCATGCCCCTGACCCCCAACCCCATTATGAACCAGCCCTCCTTATAGCAGAGAAAACTTTCAGCATTTGTCTTTTTGGGGGGATTGGCTAGCTTCACTTAGCATTATATTCTCCAATTTCATCCATTTACCTGCAAATGCCATGATTTTATTCTCTTTTAATGCTGAATAATATTTCATTGTGAATATATATACCACATTTTCTTTATTCATTCATCTACTGAGGGATATCTAAGTTGGTTCCACAGTTCAGTTATTGTGAATTGTGCTGCTATAAACATTAATGTGGCTGTGTCCCTGTTTTTAAGTCCTTTGAGTATAGACTGAGGAGTGGGATAGCTGGGTCAAATGGTGATTCCATTCCCAGTTTTCCAAGGAATCTCCATACTGCTTTCCATATTGGCTGCACCAATTTGTAGTCCCACCAGCAATGTGTGAGTGTGCTTTTCCTCCTACGTCTTCTCCAACGCTTATTGTTGTTGTATTCTTAATAGCTGTCATTCTGACTGGAGTGAGATTAAATCTTAGAGTACTTTTGATTTGCATTTCTCTAATTGCTAGAGATGAACATTTTTTTATATATTTGTTGATTGATTGTGTATCATCTTCTGAGAAGTGTCTGTTCAGTTCCTTGGCCCATTTATTGATTGGGCTACTTTTTTTTATGTTTAGCTTTTTGAGTTCTTTATATATCCTAGAGATCAGTACTCTATCTGATGTGTGAGTGGTAAAAATTTGCTCTCAAGATGTAGGCTCTCTATTCACCTCACTGATTGTTTCTTTTGCTGAGAAGTAGCTTTTTAGTTTGAATTCATCCCATTTGTTGATTCTTGATTTTAATTCTTGCTCTGTAGGGTCTTATTAAGGAAGTCGGGGCCTAATCTGACATGATGGAGAATAAGTGCATTAAAAAAAAGGGAACAAAATGGACATTCACAAGACAGACAAGGTCAGGGAAGCGATTCAAGGCAGAGGAACCAGTATAAGCATAGAATCCTTTTCTGGGCCAGTTGCTGTATGACATTTGGTGTAGATGAGAAGGTGATTATTCTCATGAAGTGAGATCAAGTTATTCTTGTTCCTGGGAAATATTTCCTTGATGGAAATATTCCCATCATCATATTCCTCAGACTCTTGATGTCATCAGTTCCTAGAGAGCCCAAAAGAGATGGCACAGGAACTGGGATATAGTCATGTTTTACAATGTACCCAGAAGAACTGAAGAGCACAGGTTGCATTCAACTTTGGGTAAGCAGTTCTCAACCTGCTTTGTGACTCAGACCTCTTTGAGATACAGATGAAAGACACATTTAAATAGAATTTTGTGTACAGACTCTCTGAAGCTCATCCCTAGTCCTTAGATTAAGAAGTCTTGTTTGGACTAGGTGGTGCATATATGTAGTTCCACTTTAGAAACTTTAGAAACTGAGGCAGAAGGATCACTTGAACCCAGGAGATTGAGATCAGCATGGGCAATAGAGCAATACCTTGTTTCAATAAATAATCTTGTCTAAATGAATGAATGGGGGAATAGCTCAATGGTAGAGTGTAGCATGCATGAAGTGCACACAAACACTCACATGTATACACACACACACACACACACACACACACACACGGACTCTGGTTGTAATTTATGTCTTGTTAGGAAAGAAGGATCCATAGCTGGGTGTGGTGGCATATATCTGTAATCCCAGCTAGTTGGGAGGCTGAGGCAGAAGAATCTCTTGAACTCGGGAGTTGGTGGCCAGATTGGCATTGTGAAAACTCATCTCGAAAAAAAAAAATTCAGAGTAGAATTCACAACAAAGAAAACAGGGAATAAAAATTCATTTCATAATGATAAATGAATCAAGAACACATAAAAATTCTAAATGTTTGTGAACTTGATAATAAAACTTTAAGATACATTAGGGGAACACTAATAGAATGGCTAGAAGTAGTAGACAAATCCATAATCAGAAATTTTAACATCTTTTTAATAACTGATAGAACAAGTGGATAACCAGTAAGCATACAAAAAATTGGAACAACACTATCCAGCAATTGGACCTAATTGGCCTATGCATTGGAAAGGAAGATATGCAGCTATATTTTCAGGAAACATGAACATATACATAAAAATATGGAACACATAAAAATAAATCTTTGAAAGAATTTTTTAAAAGTAAATGAATTTTAAAGATCTGTTCATTATTAACTACAAACCATTGCTAAGTTTAAAGTAAATGGAAATGTGGTATGTTTGTGGATCAGAAGAGTCAATATTGCTAATATGTCAATTATTCCCAGATTAATATGTGCACTCTACACAATCCTGACCAATATCCCAAGTGGCTTTTTTTTTTAAGTTCTGGTAAGACACAATACCTTTATTTATTTATTTATTTTTATGTGGTGCGAGGATCAAGCCCAGTGCCTTACACGTGCTAGGTGAGTGCTGTACTGCTGAGCCACAACCCCAGCCCCACAAGTGGCTTTTTAAAAATGAGCTGAAATTCTAAAATTCACATGGAAGTGCACAAAACTCAACATACTCAAAACAATTTCAAGAAAGAAGGATAACAGAACTACAATAATGAAGATTGTGTGGTATTGACATCAAGACAGACACATAGATCAATGGAATGACACAAAATACTATTCCATTTTTGGCAAAGATATAAAGGCAATTAATTGGAGAAAGGAAAATCTCTTCAACAAATGGAACATTGGGGATCTGCACGCAAAAAGATGAGCTTCAAGTCCTACTACATGCCATAAACATCAACTCAAAATGAATCAGTAAACCCTCAAACTCAAAATTCTACATGAAAACATGGGGAAAATATTGTTTATTCATTTTTCTCCTTTTATGGATCATGTTTATAGTACTCTTGCTAAGTTATCTTTGAGCAATCCAAGTTCTATTTCCCTATGTTTTCATGTAGAATTTTGAGTAGTATCTTCAAAGAAAAGTTATTTTAAGCAATAACTTTAAAGATACTATTAACAGAATGAAGAGATCAGCTTCAGAGAAGGAAAAAATAACAGAAAATCATAAATATATCTAGGATATATAAAGAACTCTCAAAACTCAAGAAAACTAGAAAAACAGATAAAAGCTTTGAACACATACTTCACAACAGAAGATACAGGGATGGCAAATGAGTACAGGCATATTACCTGACTTCATTTATACACTAGGGAATTTAAAATCACAGTGAAATACCCTACATGCCTATTAGAATAATTTGTCCTATTAAAATAATTTTGGAAGTTTATTTAAAAATATGGGAGAGATAAGTGACAGTAGATCGGTGGTTGCCTGAGGAAGAGGAATGTGCTGGAAGTAAGGTGAAAAGATGGGTCATGACAGTATTTAGCTTTGGAACAAACAGACCCTGAACCTGCCCTGAAAAGGTCCAAAAATGGCCACGTGACATTAGGATCATTTAGACCACCATTTAGACCTTGAAGATGTGAGGAAAGAGTATTTGGGGTCTATGGAGAGGCTGGGAGTCTTGTCTTGACTGTCTTTATGTACACAGTGTATTTGTCAACTCTTGGATGCTCTGACTCTCAGTGGCTCTGGAGGAGTCAACTTGCTGTCACAGATAGAAAATGTTACAGACATGCTGTTCAAGCTGGTGAGTGCTGTGGGGCTGGGAGCATCCTGGGCTTGCCTTGTCTCTCTTCTTTAGAGATGATGATTTCCCCAGTGCAGGTTACCATCTCCACATGACAGGTGTCTTTCATGTGGTGTCTGTAGCTATTCACACCTTTGGCTTTCCTGGAGCAGGCAAATGCCTGGATTTTGGCTGCAGAAAAAGATATTCTTTGTTGGTAAATTGGGCACATCGTATGTCTCCCAGGATGACAGGTCTTTGTTGCTTCCCCTAAAATCTGAGAAAAGGGCAGAAGGTTCAAGCCACTCCATCATGCCTATGGGAAATGCCAGGCTTTCTGTATTATGGAGTAGAGTAAGAAGACAACTGAACATTTGGAAAAGGGTGATACCTTCCAGAGAATTAATTTGTTGGCTGATGTCTTCCCTCTGTAGCTAAGCATGTTTCTGAGTTGTATCTTCTTGTTTTCCTTCTTGCCAAATACCACACTTTCATGGCCTAATGCCTCAGTTTCCCCATCCATGTGTAGAGATAGTTTCAGTTCTTCCAGGTCTGATGGCCTTGGTTTTCCTATAGGTGAGTGAAAAAATCACCAACACAGATCCTCATTCTGTGCAGAACCACAACGTTTCCCTGAGGGCTTTCTCCCTGTTGAGTAAGTGAACACATTTCCTTCACCCCAGGTATGTGTGTCCTCACTTTTGTCTCTGGACTAGAGTGGGAGCCCATGTTCCCATGGGGGTGTGTGCTTCCATCCTTTTAGATAAGATATAAAGTTAATCATGTAAGCTTTGGAATTTAATGAATCTGAAAGGGCATGGGCCTTGATTCTCCTCCACTCTTTTCAATTCCATTCCCTGGAGTTGGGATTCAATTCCCTTTCTCCATTGGTGAGCTCCAGCTCAGGAAGAGAATAATGTGATTATTACAGCACTGATGGGAATGATTGGTCTGCTGATCTATGGGGGGCAGGTGGTTGGTAGGACAGGGACAAGGTGTAGCTCAGGAAAAATATCTCCATGGCAAATCCTAGACAAATGTCTGTTTTCTTCTGCCTTCTTTTCTTCATAGTAATGGGCCCTAATTTATTCATCCCATGTCATGGGGTTTGCTGTGAATATGATTTATTCCTCCTTATAACTGCCACTTAAACTTACCCTTGATTACCTTGTATTTCTAATAGCCAAGTTGTACAATGATCAGATGGTATCTTTAATACGAAAGACCATGGAATCCAAGGATCCAGCCAGGGTTATGTCAGCCCTTCAGGTCTTCCGGGATGTATTCCATGTTGGTGAGTGGGAATGGGGATGGTCCTGGGGCTTTAGGACTTGGTCTTTCCTAGGAAGGAGATCTCCTTTCTCAGGGAGACTGTCCAGTGAATTAGTTAAAAGGATGATTTTAAATTCAAAGTAAACTTAGTGTGTTCAATCTTGGCTTTGCATCTTACTAACTGTGCAACCTTGGGCAGATTACATTTAATCTCTACCTCTACTTCCTCATTTTCAAAAATGGATGTAAAAGTAATGTCTGTCTTCAGTGTTTTTTAGTGAAGATTGAAGAGAAAACAGGTGAGCTGCTTAGAACAGCTACCATGCCATTGGTTTGAGTGGTATATGTATGATTTTCCAAGAGAGAGTTTCCCCTCCTATCAAATGTTTTATGAATCTTTCACTGTATGCTTAGCACAGTGCTAGGCACTGAGAATGCACACATAAAACACATTTCCTGTTTCCAAGAAACTCACTATTGAACAGGTGGTATGGAGTATAAAACAATGCCAGAAAGTTCAAAGGTGAAACGATTGTTAGGAGAGCCTTAACCTTATCAGTGCATTAATCCTCTGATGGATTAACTGGTTGATAACTGTAGGCAGGTAGTGTGTAGCTGGAAGAAGTGGGTCACTGGGATAGGTTTTTGGCATATATATTTTGTTCCTGGTGAACAGAGCAATGTCCCCCTCCCGCCCCCACCACTGCACAGCCCTCTGTTGCTATGTCCTGAGCTGCTTTGCTTTGCCACACACTTCTGCCATGATGTTCTCTGCCTCACCTGGGGCCCAGAGCTATGAAGTCGGCAATCTAAGGACTGAGACTTCCAAACCTTGACCCCCAAATAGACTTTTTCTCCTCTAAAAATGTTTTTGTCAGATCTTGTGGTCACAGTGACAAAAAACCTGACTAAAATAACAGAGAAGATGAGGATTTTCCCACTGGGAAGTAATGTAGGACAGTATGTACTCCATTACTGAAATGAAGGTTGGCAGGGTATGACAGGGATACAGAGAAGGGATCTATCAGGGTAGCTGGGATGGGCTTTACGTAGGTGATTTCACTGAAAACAGAGAAGGAAGGAGATTGCAACAGTATATCAGGAGAGGGAATTTACCTCAAAGAACAAAGGTCAAAGTTCTAAAGGTTGAGGTGGAAGAGGTGGGGTAGAACAGCTTGGCTGGGGAGGTGAATTTGTATGTTTAGCCATGCAAGATTGGAAGGAATGGGGCTTAGATGCCAGCTGGATGAAAGTACTGTTTCAGATCACTTTTAAGTCCAGGCTAATCATTTTCAGGGTGCTTAGGAGTCAAGGGAGGGCTGAGAAGCCTTCGGAGACTCCACCTAGCCTTGGAGGCCAGTACTGTGCCTGGAATTCTTCCCATTTGTCTTCTTATCTTTCTCCAGAAACAGAGGAGGAGGAGGGAGGAAGCTGACCTCTAGCTGCATGTATGTGTTTTCTCTAGTGTCCCAGACAGAGAAACTGCAGAGTGAGGTGATAAATTCTGTCATCATCGTGATACAGGAGGATTTCAAGCCAGTGAGCAGAGGATGAATGTTTGTACTGGGAGGGCCATTGCTTTCTTGATTCTTTAAGGTGGTATAAAATGGAGAGGGGGAGGGCGATGGGAAATGAGGAAGGTCTCACAGCCAGTCCAGTTCTGTCCTCAGACTTCTGTCCTTGGGTTACATTGGAGTTTTTCAGAGCCTGAGAAGGAGTTGAGAAATGGGCAGTACTTAACAGCCTTTTTCTGAACTGTTTCTGTGGGCAGCAGTGTGGTGTCTCCAGTGTGGTGGGGACACAGCTCTAAATGACATTAATTTAGACCCCTGAGAACACACAACTGCTGTTTTGTTTTGAGAGAAATCTCCATATCATGTCTGGGGTGGGATCCTGACAAGCTGTATTTTGAACAAGCTCCACTGCCAGGGTTGGAAGCAGCAGAGACTCCCAGTTCTGGATTGAGCAGGACAGAGCACTGAGGTGCCTGAAGCAGGGACAGTCGTTTTGAGTAGCAAGTGGAGAATAATGACACTATCCTAAAAAAGAGAGGCCTAAATCCCTAGGTTGGGCTGTCAGGAGTTATAGATTCATTCCTGGCTTTACCTTGGAAGGCCACAACATAGGAACCTTCCTGAACTCAGATTCGTCCCCTCCCTAACACTCCTGCCATTTTCAGTGTCTCTGGGGACAAAAAGTACTTAGCATTCTATAGGAGGATGATAGAATTGAAGTGGGTTGAAACTTCAGGACAGAGTACTAAAGTGGTCAGGTTCATTGGCAGGTGGTCTGTCATGACCATTGAGTCAACAGAAGAGTCACACTGGGCTTGGAGTAGAGAGATTTGAGTAGGGAGATTTGGAGTAGGGAGATCTGGAGTGGTCCTCTGTGTCCTCACTGGAACATGAGGGATCCTGTCAGCCACCCTGAGATATCACTTCCAGTCTTGCCATGTGATGGTCTGTGCCCCCACAGGTGCGTAGAGCCCTCCTGAACTTCATTGAGACCCTGAGCCAGTATGACTACTTAACCCTGTCCCAGGGGAACGTTGTCATTGACTACCTCATCAAGCTCAGCCAGTCCAACTCCTCAGTGAGTAGAGGCCAGAGGCAAGGGAGGGCACCGAAGGGAAACAAGCCTCAGGGAGGCAGAAAGAAAAAAAGGACAGGGTTAAAAACACCAGGGCAAGAAGAGGGAGGGACAGCTGGCAAGATGTGGAGGAGCTTCGGTGCCTAGGACCCTGATCAGGGAGTAAGCCAGTAAAGGCCTCACATTGACTTCAGATTTCAACTTTTTCCTTTTCTTATCTCAGAATGAAGAGGATATTCGAATAATGTGCTTCAAAATCCTACAGATGGTAAAGCTAAATGGGGTCAAAGGGCTTTTTTTCCTCTTCTACTGGCTTCCAGATCACTACTCTGCCCCATCTTCCACTCCCCCTCCATCTTATTCCTTGTTCTGTCTTTCCCATTCCTCACCACCTCCATCTATTCCCCTCAGGTGCTGGGGCCCCCTTTGAGAAGCAGCTTGGCAGAGTACAAGGAGGACATTGGGCAGCAAGACTGGAGGCCTGAGTCTGAGTCTCACTGCTGGTTTCTAGTTGTAGAGTCTTGAGCAAACTACTCTCAGGACCACACTCTCTCCTTCTGTAATAAAAGGGGAGATCATGTGCCCTGCATGCTCACAGAACCTGCAAGTATTCATGGCTGCCTTTAGGCACTGACTCGTAGATCAGAACTGAGAAGAGGGGCCAGGAGGGAAAACAGTTGTGATTTATGCTCCTCCCTGGATTTGTAGTCCTTTTCACTCTTGAAAAGCTCTTGTCTCCTGACCATTAGCATTTTTTTTTCTGCATCTGGAATGTTTCCCCATGAAGGCAACTAAAAGTCTCACAGTTCCAGATTTCACAAAGCCCCTCTATGTAATCATTTCCTTCCTAGTGTTATTTTAACAGCACCTCAGTTACATTTCACTAATATCAGCTGAAAGGGGGAAGAAGAGAGGGTAAAAGGGAGGGAGAGAAGGAGCTAGGGAAGGAAGAGAGAATATGGTTGAATGGGAGGGATGCTAGGTGTATGTACAGATCTCAAATACCCCTCTAGGAAACCAGGAAAGGAATACAAGATCATGGGTTAGAGAATATATGATTGGGGCTGCCTTGCTCTTGGTGTTGAAGCTCTGGGCATGTCCCTTGCCAGGTGTCCTTGCCCATACTGATCACCTTGGTGTGTCATCCCAGCAACATCTTGGCCTTTGTGACTCTGAGTAAGGCAGCCACAGAGATAGCTCTGAAGGCACGGACCCTGGGCCAGGTCCCCTACCTCAGCAACTTCCACCTCATGCGTGAGTACAGGGGAGGGGCAGCCTCTGGACATGTGGCATCTGTGAGCATCCTGGCTGGGACAGGCCTGGTGGGGTGGAAGGCAGCTGAGACCCTGTGGGGGTGGCAGGTGGAGGAGGGAGGGGTGCAGAACTATGATGTGGGTAAGGCTGCAGTGGGGACTTGGTCCAGGCATGAGTGAGAAAGCAGAGGGTCGGGGCAGCAGCCTGAGACCTCTTGGCCCCTTATGATCCACAAGGGGCCTCCTCTGAAAGAGAAGCAGCCCTGGACACAGTTTCTTCCTGCCACTAGTCTTTATTTTGAAGCACCGGAGTCAAGATGTGAAAACACTGTTGGTTAATTATAAAGTCATGAGTCCACAGGCATTCCTGATCCTTTGTTTTTCCTTGGCCCTGATTTGGAGACTTACCCCATACTTACCCCATTTCTGACCTGTAGTCCTGGTGGAGTTAGGGATGGGGTAAGGGTGTCATTCAGCACATTATTATTTTTATTTTTAAATTGAATATATTGTTTGATTTTTTTCCCTTTTCTGAGTCAAAAATGTCACAAGCATTGTGACAATGCACTGGCATTGATGCTCCCTCTCCACTTTGCGTTTTCTCCTCCTGTGTGGCTCTGATGGTGGCTGCCAGTGCACTGACTCTGTACCTTTCCTTTATCCTCTCAGCTGACCAGGTCGTCTCCCCTCAGAAACTACTGACCTATCTTGTGGTAAGTGATGCTGGGATGAATATTCTTGTCCCCATCTATTCATCCACACACCATCACTCATCTGTCTGTCCGTCCATCTAGTCATCCCTAAATAGTTTGAGAATTACTCTATTCTAAGTGTTATGCTGGATATGGAGTAAAGAGGTAAGGCCAAGGATCATGGCAGTCCCTGGGAGATGCAGTCTGGGCCAAGAGCATGGAAGAGGGAACTGGAGCTTAAGTGGTAGGACATGGAGTCTGGGAACTGAAGGTAAGATGCAAAATGCCTGACCTGTCTCCTCTGTGGCTCGATGGCGAACCTATTTCTGTTGACCTTGGATAAGTGCACCTGCCTTTCTGGATGTCATTTTTCTCAATAAGTGTGTTTTGTATCCCTGTCTGCTCACCACTGTGACAGACATTATGAATATTTGGAGGGATGGAGGGACCAGGTATAGACCTGCCTTTGAGGTGTTCACAGTTGTAATGAGAGAGACAAATGACAATAATCTAGTCATTACAGATCAGTGTAATAAGTATATCAACAGGAACCTACAGATTCAGTGGGGTCTTAGCAGAGTAATGGGCCAATTTGGCCCCCAGGAGTCATGGCAGAAGAGGTTTTATTTGAGGGCATTTTGGAGAACATGTTCAACAAGTGGGGAAGGTCTCAGCTTCAGATCTACCCTTCTGTGGTTTTATTCTAATTTTCTTCCTTCTCTTCCCTTAAATTCTTTTCTCTGCCTCCTGTTTGCTTTTCTTGTTTCTCAGTTGCTCTCCCTGAAGCCTTACAGAGAAAAGGAGTTTGGTGTGAGCTCCTTAAGGCTCTTATATGCCTTGCATCCTATCACTTCCCTGCATCCTGTTATCAACTCAGATGTGGGCCAGGTTTGGAAGAAGGAGATACCCCAGATGTTGCGGATCCTGGATGGTGAGGGGTGGGCTGGGAGGGTGGAGGGATGGAGCTGGGGCAGTGGGGGAGACTCCAGAAGGGTTTGAGTCACAAGGAATAGGAAGGATCTGGTTAGGGTTGAGGAAGTGTGAGAATAGCTGCTTTTCGCCTAGTTGATGTTATGTGTGATGCAAATTCTAGTTCAGAGTTCTGTATCTCTATAGAGTTCCAGAGTGACTACTGTTCCTTCATGTTGGTGGAGGATTAGGGGAGAGTGTGATAGGCTTTCAGACAGACTCAGGTTTGCATCCTTGCTCTGACACTGACCAGCTATGGGTGTCTGACCTTTGGGATGTCACTCATAACCTGTTGGGGCCTCGTGAAGTGGGCTAGCAGTTGTCTTGCTGGGTTGTAGTGAGTGTGAGATGAGAGGTAGAATGTTCTGATGTTGGTACTTTTTTCCCTGACTGGGGCCTTCTGATCTGGTGGGCACCATTGCTGTCATCTTTTCCAGATAATACTGAGAAGACCCTGAATCAGAAGGAGTGGGAGGAAAGACTCCTCCATGTGAGGCTCTCCCTGAGAGATACCTCTCTCCACCCAGTGAGGTTCCCTCTTCAGCATCCTAGGGGAGGAGAGGACCTGAGAACACCATGGCTAAGGCTACAATCATGGAACCTCCATGACCAAGGGAACCTTTGTCTGGCCATTCATGCTGCCTGGTCTCTATATTGGAGCCTCTGATGATACTCTAAAGCCTTGACCCACTTTTCATGTCCCCACAAGGCCCAACCTTTGTTGAAGAGCAAGGAAAGACCCCTGGTTGTGTGTGCTTGGGCAAGTCATTTAGCCTCCCCCAGACTACTGCCTCTTCATCTGCAAACTGGAAATGATCATTGCTATTTCACACAGTTCAATAGGATGATAAAGGAGAGGACCTTGTGACCTGGAAGGGCCTGCTTCATATATGACTTGTCGTGACCATTATTCTAGTGTTGTTCTTGAGTCCTTGATCAAGCCAGACCCCATTTTTAATTTTTCTCTCTGTATTTCCAGAGAGTTCCCTTGACTCTTGGTTTTGTCTTACCCCACTTCTATGAGGCAGAAAAACTTACCCACCTTTCCTTGTGGCTCTCTCCTCCCTTCCTCTTTCTCAGTTTTCAGGTCGGTCACTAGTGGCCATCAATGATGATGACTGGCTGGAAAAACTCGCCAAAACCATCTTGGAGAAGATAAATTACTTTAATGATGATGAGGAGAAGGTAGGTATGTGTGTGTGATTGGGGTGAGAGTTGTAAGGGAAGCAGGTGGGGGTGTTGGGAGTAGGGGAGGAGCCTGGTGGGAAGGGCTATAGAAATTCTCAAGAAGGGTAGGTCTTGGGAGCAAGAGTAAAGTGGTGTCCCTGGGTCCCGAGGAACTGAGGAATGGAGAAGATCACCCTGGAATGGCAATAGCATGAAAGTATCTCACATTTGCTTAGTGTTTTAGGCTTTATTTTCTGTTGTCTTAATGGAACCTCCCAGCAATTCTGAACAGAATAGAGCTGGTACTTGGGTGCAATGGAAAGATTATTGACCATAGAATCAAACTTAAGCAAGTTAATTCAAACTATTTGAGGATGCAGCACATGGCTTGAGGACTGTGCTTGGTGCTGATTGAGATAGTGGGGCACCTTTCCCTTATGGTGCTTGGGTCTGCGATGGCAAAGGCATGGGTCCTGACCCTGCCTGTTTGAAGTGTTCTGGGTATCATGTGTCTTAACCTGTTTAATCTAACTCGCCCACTTGGGAAATGGCAAGAATAACCTCTACATCCTAGGAGGATTGATGAAGAGCAAACATGGGGTTCCTGTGAGGATACTTTGTTCTCTCAAAAGGCTAAACAACCCAGAATCCAGGGGTTTTATAGTCCTAAGCAGATTGTTGTACAACTGGCATTTGAATCTAAGTTCTTTGATTTTTGATCTTGTTTTCCTGTCCCTGAACAATACTTTATTTCAGCTTAGGAATCTCCAGGCAAGAGGCCTGCCTCACTTCCAGGACCCTAAGTATTGGCAAATATTTACAAAGCACCTACAAGGTGCACTGCATTGTGGATGGTGGCTTAGGGATGCAACATGACACGAGCAGGAATTCTTATCTTACAAATGTAGTTACTAGAAATATGTACTAGGTACCCACAATGCAGCAAGCCCTGTTAGGCCCAGATTCCTCATGTGAAAGACAGGTCCTGTCTTTAGGAAACCATGTCTACTTGAGGGATTGATCTGCAGAGGGGAGTGAATGTGTGGCCTATGAAGAGGGACAAAGCAGCTTTCCTGGAGATGATCCATAATCTTGATTTCCTTGTGGTTGTCCCAGGTATTTTTTAGTTGGTGTATTACAATTATAGATAGCAGTGGATTTTGTTGTCACATATTTGCACATATGCATAATATAAAATATAATTTGTTCACTTTCATTAGGGGTAGTCCCAGGTTTAGCACTGAAAGCCCAGGAAGGGCCTTGGTCCTGGGCAAACTGGGAAGATGGGCCACCTTGCAGAGGAAGATGAGTGGTAATTGCCAACTAAAATCAGTGCCTTAAGTTAGGTGGTAGAAGCAGAGACTGAGGTGTTAAGAGTCTTGAGTAAGTTAAGGACAATTCATGGTGGGAATTGTACCCTTAGGAGAAGCTGGAGTAGAGTTCAGGAAGCTAGATGGGGAAGGACAGAAGCCCTACAAGGACCCGGTCCAGCCTCATGGAAAGTCTTTGGTGTAAATTGCACTGCAGAATCTTTCCTGCCTAGAGACAAGCAAGGGGCTTTGTGCCTTGGTCCCTGCCTCTCTCTCTGCTCTTAGCTTCAGGTTTCCATGGTTAGGAGGAGACTATGTAAGAAGACGGAGGAATGCAACTCCAAGACTCTACTGGGCACAGAGGCCCATATTAACCTTGGGAATAATGGGACAAGTCTACAGGCAGAAACTGGCCTGCAGCCAGTCACAGGGAAAGTGCTCTCAAGGGAGCCAACAGGACAGGATAGAGTGGGGAAGAGGTTCTGGCAAGACATTCAGGCATCAAGGGGGACATCTGCATGCATGCTGTTCAGGCTCTGCATAGATACTGGTGACCAACAAAATATACAATGCATCTGAGCTTTATTCTGGGCAGAGATCTGGGTTGGGGAGAGACAGGAATAAACCAAGCAAATACATGAGCAGGATTGCTAGTGACTGATGAGATTCTTAAGGAAATGAAGACTATGGTGCACTGGAGGGGATCTTAAGGGGAGGTCATGGAAGGCTTGGGGCTAACATGAGTGAAAGAAGAATGAGACAGCATTTTAAAGAGTAGGGGAAGAGTATACAGATAGAAAAAATAGGAAATGCAAAGACACTAAGGTGGAAAGTAGAGGAGCACATAAATATGGGTATCCAAAGTGAATAGGGCAACCTAGTAAGCAAGGATAAAGATCATTGGATTGTATAGGAGGGAGGAAGAAATACTATGTAAACATACCTCCTGGGCTGGGGATATAGCTTAGTCAGTAGAGTGCTTGCCTTGCATGCACAAGGTCTTGGGTTCAATTTCCAGCAGCACATACAAACACAGACACACACAAGAAAAGAAAGAAAGAAAACATACCTTCCATTATGCAATTTTGATTTAAACATGCAAATTTAAGGAACTGTATTTCCCACGTGGAAGTGGGAAGTTTGTGGATCAGGGAGTTTCTTAAGATGGGATGCTCCCTACCCTAAGAGACTGAGAAATGAGATATACAAATTTTCTTCCCTTCAGCTTTAGCTGCTGTACTATGATACTGCTATCTTATCCATACTTGCACCCTGACCCTGAGGACCAAGAAGGCTGGTGGGGAGGTTGGGACAGAAGGGGAGAATAGTATGGCTGACAATTCTTATCTCTGAAATGACTGTTCCCTTGGTTACTCCAACTTCATTCCAAGCTTTGATGACTTGCCCTCCCATCCATCCCAGGCTTTCCTATATAAATTCTTTGGCTTCACCCTGCGGACCTCAAGGAATCTTCAGCTGGTAAAGACCATGCTCTCATCCATCCTGAACAGTGCCCATGAGGAATTGCAGGAGAGAGAGGTGAGGCAGAGGACCCTGGCAAAAGGGGAACACTTTTCATTTTAGAGAAGAAAAGCCAGACTACCTGAGTTGCAATCTCAGTCGTGCTCCTTACTAGGTGTGTGCCTTTGGGTAAATTGCCAAATCTCTCTGTTCCTCTGTAAAATGAGGCTATGGTGCTTTCCTCCTAGGATATTTTTGTAAAAGCTTTTTGTTTTGAAATAATTTCATATTTACAGAAAATTTATCAAAGAAAACCAAATAATAGTATAAAGAATTTCTCTATATATCCTTCTTTCAGATTTCCCAAAGTGTAACATTTTCCTTTGTATTATCATCTATCTCTTTTCCTCATATATATGTATTCATAAACATACATATTTATTATTTTATGAATCATTTCAGGGACTTGTGTGATGCTCATTTACCTCTAAATACTTCAGTGTATATTACCTACAAACAAAAATTTTCTCAGATATAGTCACAGTGAAAAATCAAAATCAGGAAATTAACATTGCTATAGTATCATTATCTAATTTTTAGACCCAGTTCAAAAATTTACAATTGTTCTACCAATATTATTTTTTTCCTTTCTTTCTTTTTTTGGGGAAGGGGTCTCCCTAAAATACTGAGGATGTCCTTGTGATTCTCCTGCCTCAGCCTCCCCAGTTGCTTCACAGAGTAACCTTAATAAGGGCTGCATGGTGGTGGTTGAGACTACTGCTGCTTGGGCTGGTGGGGATAGTGTAGTTGGAGGGAAGCAGGTCTTCCCACAGGATAATTTTCCCCAAGCTGAGAGTGGAGAGAAGAATAAGAACTTTGGGGCATGTCTGGAGAGCAGTCGTTTTCTGGTTGCACTGGAATGCAGAGTTCTTTGACAGGGAAGTGAAAGTTATCCTCTGCCAATATTTGGGAACAGAATGGATGCAGGGAATAAAGATAAGAGCAAGGTGAATGCCTCAGATGGTTCCTGGGTTTCTGGTGTCCCAAGTCGGGAGATTCATAGTATTTTTGGTGGGAGTGAGGAATTCAGGAGAAAATGAGGGAGCAAACTGATGTAGTTGACTTTTGACAGGAGGTGTTGGGGTCCCCATGGTATAGCCAGATAGGAGGGTCTAGTAGCCAAGGAGATATGGATCTCTGATCTGGGTTGGACATATGGATTTGGGAGCCATTATACTTCCCTGTGTGTAAGATGGGGATGATAATGTGTATATCAAAGCCTTAGTGTGAGGATCAGTGAGATAACATGGGTAAGGCTGGCACAAACTTAAGTACAGATATGGGCAAATGAGCATGGATGACAATGACCATGATGAGTAGAAGCTGATAGCTAAGGGAGGACCTGAGAAGAGAGACTGAAGAGAACCCTTTCAATATGCTCAAGTAGTCCTTGTTTTATAACTAGGAAAAATTTTTCCTTTATCTGTTTGGAGGTCAATGGTCTATACATCTCAATAATTCTTTTCTGGGGCAAGGGTTCCTGATCTCTGTTTCCCATTCTGCCTCCTCTTAATGGTGGCTCCACCTATAGTAAGAGCAAAATAACTAGCTGGTTGGTAAATAGTTGGCATCTGTATCTCTATATTGGTAGTGATCCTTGTGAGTGAGATCTAGGGAAAGACAAACACTTAAATCAAAAGAGTCTGCCATGAGACAGAGGGATTTGAATTAGATTGTGACCCCACAACTGACCAGTCACCCCATTAAATCAGTGTGGCCTCTTCCAACCTCTAGATAGCAACAAATTAAATGAGAGGGACTAAGTACCCATGCAGTGGGATCTCTTAAGAATCCATCTAGAAATAACTTGTAGAGGGGTCAGTCCTAGTTGAAAGTTGTTAAAACTCCTTCTCTGTACTGCCAACAAGGGAAGTGGGATGTGCTTACTCAGCCCATCACTCTGCATAGCTTCTGCAGGAGCCAGGGAGCTGGACAGAGACTGAGCAGAGAATGCTTGCAATTTGTGAGAAGTGAGATCTCAAACCCAAGTGGCAAAGCAGTTTTGGTGTTAGTAGAGGAAAGGAGAGCAGTCAGGATTGTTGGAGGTTGTTGGGAGGAATGGTGAGAAGTTTCCTGTGCCTAGAAGCCTAGAGGGACTGTTCCTCTGATTGTGGTTGCAGTCTGCATGGGCCCTGTCTTGGAGGGAAGCTTCCTGGATATCTAGTGGCATAGAGGGATGGTTTCCAGATTGTGGCAGCAGCCTGTAGAAGGCCATGATGAGAAGTTGCCTGAGTACCTAGGAAGCTTAAAGGAAGGGTGCCCAGATCATTACCATAGCGAGTAGAAGGTCAGTCAAAGCAGAAATTTGCCTGGGTCCAAGGCAGCAGAGAGTGATGGCTTCTTGCTTGACTGGGCTCCCAGCCTGACCCATGGTGGCAACTGGTGAGTGTTAGGGCACTATTTGGGACACTGGCTGGACCATGCCTCAGTCATTCAGCAGAGGGAATCAACACTTACCATTCACAATCTGGGGCAGTAGAAGTTGGAACCCAGGTGAACCAGTTGAATATCTTTACTCAGTACTAAAGACAGTATCTCAGTGAGCTATGTTGGCCAAGAAGAATGTGTCTACACCACAGATCACCTGTACAGAATCCACAACTGCAGGACCTATGCTTATAGATAGCCAACAGTCTCTACCACGAAAAGTATCCTTTGAGAGAGGAATGGGTACATAGTGACCCACAGTAATCAGGACAGCCAAGAACCCTGCATCCTGAACTACTGTACACAATAGAAATAATCAACAGACACTGGACCCTCTGAGTAGCAAGCCATAGGTCCCTGAGCTGACAAACCAGAACTAGCTGGTGGGAGGTCCATAGCAACTATGAGAATGGTCCCTGTGTCCCAGTATCTGTGGAGGGATCCAACGCCAAAGACTGACAGATGTCTTCTAAATGTGCCAAATCCTAATGAAATCCAAAGCCAGATTCAAAAAGAATTTTCTTAACTTTTTTTTTTGGTGGTGAGGGAGTTACTGGGGATAGAATTCAGGGGCACTCAACCACTGAGCCACATCTCCAGCCCTATTTTGTATTTTATTTAGAGACAGGGTCTCACTGAATTGCTTAATGCCTCACCATTGCTGAGGCTGGCTTTGAACTCTAGAGAAAAAAAGCTCACAAAGGGGTCCCTTGTTTAAAAGAAGAAGTTATAACCATCCCAATAGATGGGCAAGCAATATGAAAAAGCAAGGCTTTTCAAGGGCTGTCCCAAACAGCCCACAACATGACACACTATTGACTTTGTTGACACCACAGTGGAGAAATGTCAGAGAAAGAATTTACAAATTTCACAGTTAAATTGTTCAGAGAGCTAAAAGAAGACATAAGAGGTAAAATTAGAAAATATAGGAAGTGAAAGATCACTTTAATAGAGATTCTGAAACAGAACCAAATAGAAAATTCAATGGAAAGCATCACTAATAGATCAGACCATTTTTAAATTGAAAAATGTGTAATTGTATGAATGCATTACAATTCATACAATTACACATATATACCACAATTTTTCATATCTCTGTTTGTATATAAAGTATGTTGACACCCAATTCGTGTCTTCATACATGTACTTTTGATAATTATGTCCATCACATTCCACCATCCTTGCCTATCCCCTGCCCCTCCCTTTCCTTCCCACCCCTCTCCCCTATCTAGAATTCATCTATTCCTCCCATGCTCTCCCTCCCTACCCCACTATGAATTAGCCTCCTTATATCAGAGAAAAACATTCGGCATTTGTTTTTTTGGGATTGGCTAACTTCACTTAGCATTATCTTCTTCAACGCCATCCATTTACCTGCAAATGCCATGATTTTATTATCTTTTAATGCTGAGTAAAATTCCATTGTGTATATATGCTACATTTTTTTAATCCATTCATCCACTGAAGGCATCTAGGTTAGCTCCACAGTTTAGCTATTGTGAATTGTGCTGCTATAAACATTGATGTGGCTGTGTACCTACAGTATGCTGTTTTTAAGTCCTTTGGGTATAGTCTGAGGAAAGGGATAGCTGGGTCAAATGGTGGTTCCATTCCCAGATTTCCAAGAATAGATCAGACCATTTTGAAAATATATTTTCAAAGTCTTGGAGACAAAGCATATAATCATTTTTTTTATATTTATTTATATTTTATTGTTTCTGAATGATCTTAGGGATAAAGATTGCAAGTGTCTCTTTTTTTGGTACTGGGGACTGAAGTCAGGGGCACTCAACCACAGAGCTGCATCCCAGCTCTATTTTCTATTTTATTTAGAGACAGGGTCTCACTGAGTTGCTTAGCACCTCACCATTGCTGAGGCTGGCTTTGAACTCATGATCCTCCTGTCTCAGCCTCCTGAGCCACTGGGATTACAGGCATGTGCCACCATGCCCAGCCCAACCAAGATTTCTGTACCCAACAAAATTATGAAATAAAACCTCCCACAGAGACTAAAAACAATTCATAACTATAAAGTCTGTAGTACAAACCCTACTTGATTAAATATTTCAATGAAGAAAATGAAAAATAAAAATGAAGACCAATATAGGAATAAATTATACTTGAAGAATCATCAAAGGAAATCAAATATAAATTAAATATTAGAAATAAATAAAAATGGCAGGAAATAAAAATCATATCTATAACATTGAATGTAAATGATCTAAACTCTAATCAAAAGACATAGATTAGCAGGTTGGATTAAAATTAAAAAAAGACCCAACAATATGTTGTTTGCAGGAGACTCACTGACAAAGACTGAAGGTGAAAGATGGGAAAAGACACCATGCAAATGGTAGCTGAAAGAAAGTAGGGGTAGCTACTTTCACATCAAACAAAGTGGACTTCAAGCCAAAATTAATCAGAAGAGACAAGAGGTCACTTCATACTGGTTAAGGGAATCGTCCAACAATAGGTATAATAATTGTAAATATTTATGCCTCAAACAGTAGAGCATCTACATACATAAAACAAACCCTTCAACACACCTCTCATTACTAAACAGATCATCCAAACATAAACCAAGATTCTTCAGAACTAAAAAAAATCCTACTAATCAAATGGACCTAACAGACATCTATAAAACATTTCATTCATCAATGACTAAACTTATTTTCAGCAGGGCATGAACTATTTTCTAAAATAGACCAGAATTTAGGTCACAAAGCAAATCTTAGCAAATACAGAAAAGTAGAGATAATTCCTTGCATCCTATCCGATCATAATGGAATGAAATTAGAAATCAATGACAAGATGAAAAACAGAAATCACTGTAACAATAGGAGGTTAAATAATACACTTTTGAATGATGAATGGGTAGCAGAAGAAATCAGGAGAGAAATTTTAAAAATTGAGAATAGTTATACAACATATTAAAATGGCACAATGAAGGCAGTTCTAAGTGGAAAGTTCATAGCATTGAGTTCATACATTAAAAAAATAGATGCCAAATAAATAATCTAACATTACACTTCAAAACCCTAGAAAAAGAAGAAAAAATAAACACCCAAATCAATAAAATTGAGAATAAAAAATACAGAGTTGTTTTTTTGAAAGGATAAACAAGATTGATAAACACCCATGGGCTGGGGTTGTGGCTCAGTGGTAGAGCACTTGCCTAGCATGTGCAAGGCCCTGAGTTCAATTCTCACCACCACATAAAAATAAATAAATAAATAAAGGTATGGTGTCCAACTACAACTAAAAAATAAAACATAAAAATATTTTAAAAATCGTTAAAACCCAAACTAATCAACAAAATTAGAGATGAAGAAGGACTCTATTGAAATCCAAAGGATCATCAGAGACAATTTTGAAATTTTTACTCCAATAAGCTAGAAAATCTTGAAGATCTGGACAAATTCCATGACCTACCCAAATTGACCTGGGAGGATACAGAAAACAGATCAATATCAAATAACAAAATTGAAGCATCTATCAAAAGCCTTAAAACAAAGAAAAGCTCAGTAATGGGCAGGTTCTCAGTTCTACTAGACCTTTAAAGAAGAACTAATACTAATCCTCCTCAAATTATTATGAAATGGAAAAGGAGGGAACACTTCCAAATTCATTCTATGAAGCCATTAACTCCCTGATACCAATACCAGACAAAGACACATCAAGGAAAGAAAATTTCAAACCAATATCCTTGATGAACATAGATGCAACCACATACAAACAACAACAAAACATTTAAAAGATAGTGCACCATGATCAAGTAGGTTTCATTCCAGGATGCAAGATTGATTCAATGTATGCAAATAAATAAATGCAAATCAATAAATCCACCACATAAATAGACTTAAGGACAAGAATTACCTGATTATCTCAATAAATGCAGAAAAAAGATTTGAAAGTACATTACCAATTCATATTTAAAACTATAGAGAAATTAGATATGGAAGGAATTTAACATTGTAAGGGCTATAGACAACAAACCCCCAAACCAACAACATACTGAATGGAGAAAACTGAAAGCATTTTCTCCAAAAACAGAAAAAAGACACTCTCACCACTCCTATTCAACATAGTCCTTGAAAGGAATTAAGAGCATATAAATAGGAAAAGAAGAGCTCAAATTGTCTGTTTGCTGATGACATCTTATATTTAGAAGACCCAAAAAACACTACCAGAAGATGTCTAGAGGTGATAAATTTAGTAAAGTAACAGGATACAAGATCATACATAAACCAATCACTTTCCTATACTCTATATGAGTCTGCTGAAAAAGAAATCAGGAAAATAATCCTATTTACAATAACTTAAAAAAAATCTAAGGAGGTGAAGGACCTCTACAATGAAAATTATAGAACACTGGAGAAAGAAATTGAAGACCTTAGAAGATGGAAAGAACTCCTGCGTTCTTGGATAGGCAAACTGATATTGTCAAAATGGCCATATTACCAAAGGTATCATACAAATGCAATGCAGTCTCCACCAAAATATCAATTACATCTTCCCTGCACTAGAAAAAGCAACTTTAAAACAAGAAACCCCAAATAGCCAAAGCAATCCTAAGCAAAAAGAGCAATACTGGAGGCATCACAATGTAAGACCTCAAAATATACTACAGAGCGGTAGTAGTAAAAGCAGCATGGTACTGGCACCAAAACAGACATGAAGACCAATGAAATAGAACAGGGGACACAGAGACAAACCCATATAAATAGTTATTTGATATTAGACAAAGGTACCAAAAACATATTGGAGAAAAGATAACCTTTCAACAGATGGTGCTGGGAAAACAGGAAATCCATATGCAGAAGAATGAAACTTGATCTCTGCACAAAAGTCAACTCAAAGTAGATCAAAGACCTGGAAATTAAACTAGGAACTCTACAACTGCTAGAAGAAAATGTAGGCCCAAATTAAAAAGCTTCTGCACAGCAAAGGAAACAATGAAGAGAGAGCCTACAGAATGGGAGATCTTCATTACCTGCTCATTAGATAGGGCATTAATATCAAGAACATATAAAGAAATAAAAAAATACCAAAAACTCCCAAATAACCCAATTAATAAATGAACAAAAGAACTAAACAGACACTTCTCAAAAGAATAAATACAAATGGTTGATAAATATAGGAAAAAATGTTCAATATCTCTAGCAATTAGAAAAATGCCAATTAAAACTCCAGGCAATTATAAAGAATACAAATGCTATTAAGTGTTGGTGAGGATGTAGGGAGAAAAGTACACTCATACATTGTTGGTGAGAACTCACATTATTAGTGCAACTTTTTTGGAAAGCAGTATGGAGATTCCTTAAAAATTAGGAATGGAACCACCATATGATCTAGCTATCCTACTCCTTGGTATATATCCAAAAGATCTTAAATCAGCTTAGTATAATGATGCAGCCACATCGATGTTTATAACAGCACAATTCACAATAGTCAAGCTTTGAAAGCAATCTAGGTGCCTTTCAACAGATGAATGGATAAAGAAAATCTCTCTCTCTCTCTCTCTCTCTCTCTCTCTCTCTCTCTCTCTCTCACACACACACACACACACACACACACACACACAATGGAGTATTACTCAGCAATGCGGAAGAATGACATTATGGCATTTGCTGGTAAATGAATGTAACTGAAAACTATCGTGCTCAGTGAAATAAGCCAGACTCAAAAAGTCAAAGGTAGAATGTTTTCTGTGATATTCAGAAACTAGTCTAAAATAAGGGAAAAAAAGGTAAAGGAAAAAGGGGAGGATTCCATCAAAATAAAAGAAAGATAAATAGAGTAGATGAAAAGGATTGAGGGGGGGGAGGGAGGAGAGATGGGATAAGGGAAGTACAGTAGAATGAATCTGATCTGATTTTCCTATGTACATATAGGAATGTACCACAGTGAATCTCACCATGAGGTATATCCATAAGATATTAATAAAAAGCTATAAGTAAATAGCAGAAAGATCAGTAGAATAGAGGAAAGGGAACAGGGTAGGGAGAAGAGGGAAAAGGAAACTTTTTGGGACTGAATTAGAGCAAATTATATTCCATGCTTTTATAATTATGTCAAGATGAATCATAATATCATATATATGGTGGCATACCCTAAAATCCAAGTGATGCAGGAGACTGAGGAAGAAGGATAACAAGTTCAAGGCCAGCCTCAGCAGCCTAGTAAGACCCTCAGCAACTTAGCTAAACCTCCTGTCTCAAAATTAAAAGAACTGGGGATATAGTTCAGTGGCAAAGCACCTCTAGATTCAGTTCCCAGTACTAATAAATAAATATGTACATATATACAGTTCCTGGCACAGACTTCCCAGTCTTTCCTTCAAATTTCTGGTTCTGAGTTACCTGGTCAGTTCCCAGATAAATGCTTCCAGCTACACTATTTCCTCTTATTTGTCTTACCACTGTGTTACATACAAAGCATCCAGAATCCACTTTCTCCTCTCTTCTTTTCCCTCTGCCCATTCTGATCGGAGTAACTGCTGTTTTGTACACTCCTACACGAGTCTGGCATTCTCTGAAAGCATTGTCTATAAGGTTTCCCACTTCCATTTTCTCTAATTAGCTACTAATCCTGTTGATAATGTACCTCGAGTTTGTACTTCTCCTCTATTCCCACCTTAAACCAACCCTTCTCTGACTTACTAGTGCATAGAAGTTTCCTCTCCAGTTGCTTTTCTTCCTTTTGGTACCAGGGATTGAACCCAGGGGTGCTTAACTACTGAGCGATATCCCCAGCATGTTTTTGTATTTTATTTAGGACAGGTCCTCACTGAGTTGCTTAGTGCCTTGCCATTGCTGAGGCTGGCTTTGAACTTGCGATCCTCCTGCCTCAGCCTCCTGAGCCACTGGGATTACAGGTGTGCACCTGTCTGGCTCTAATTGCTTTTTAAATTACTTCTTGCTACAATGTTTGGCTCTCTATCTGGATTTTGAACAGTGCAAGTCCAAAGGACCACATTTTCCTTCCTTCTCCTGTTCCCTCTCTCTAAATCTCTGATTCTAGAGAAGCACAGTAGAGGTGCTCAGCACATGGTAAATTGTGGCATGTCCCTGCTTTAGGGCATTGCTGTGGCTCTTGGCATTGTGTCCTTGGGACATCTGAAGATAACTCTGGATGAGCTGAAGGAATATAGTACGACACTCATGGACCAAGACACATCATCCATCCTCAAATTGATGAAGGTGATGACATTCCCATGGGCTCTACCAGCATCCCGCATCACCACAATTTCTCTACTTCTACCATGCCTTGTGATTCAACTATAAAGCCTGTATTTAACCTTAGGGCAGTTTTATCTTCCCTGTCCTTTTCCTTGCTCTCTTATGTCCATGTCTCAGGATCTGCTATCACCACTCATCCCCCCACTCAACCAAGTTGACCCTTCTATAGCTCTGTCTTCCCTTTGGGGCCCTCTGTACAATCTTTTCCTCTCTTGGCCTCAGTTTCCACATGAAGCAAGAGAACAAGGTGAAGAGAAGGCAAGTTTCCCTTTTCCCCTACAGGAATATCAGCAAAGGGAGTGGGGGCTGGTCTGCAGCACCATCTACTTAAGCTATGGCAAGATTATCTCAGAGAGCAAGGGAGCCATCTTCCATCATTTGGATACTATCCTGGCCTCAGTCCTACAGCACTACCACAACTGCATTGTGGAAAAGGTACTTCTTGTTTCCTGTGCTTCACCCACATCCTATCCCTTCCTTTCTTTTCTCTTCCCCCGCAAGGAACCTTTGCTTGGCTTACAGTGTTACTCAGTGGTTGGGGCTCTTATTGCTGTTTTGTTTCCATTTCAATCATTTCATATTCCTTTATCCTGCCACTAAGAAACTACTGACTGGAGGAGACATGCTGTGTGGCATGCCTGTGGGCTTCTCCCTGCCCTTTCCTTTGAAGGGAAGAATAATGCCTAATTTGCCAACACATTCATGGAAAGAAGCATTTAGTGGGGTTCCTGCCTTTGTTGTTTGTCTAGAGTGTGTGTCTCTAGGCTAGAGACAAGCACTTCCCATTCCCTGTCCGTCTACCATCCAGCTGGACAACCTGAATATTGAAGACAATATTCAGTGGAAAGACATTCCCTTGAGAGAGAAGAATACTATGCTATTGAAAAATTTAAGAGTTTTATGAAGAGGGAGCTGTTTCAGGGGGCTGGTGTGAGGGTGGCCCTTTCCTTCTATGGGGTTGTCACAGGCTTTGCCTCTTCTCAGCTGCACTCAAGAGAACATGCAGGGACTCAGTCTAGGGGAAGCTATGAATGCTTAGCTCCTTATGCCCAGATTGCAGATGGGTTTCCCAGGGCTCAGGACAATTCCTGTCGTTATTGGGGGTGGTCTGTTTGCATGCTGCTTTTTTCAGGATAACAATGTGAAGGTGGATTTCTTGAATGCTCTATCCCGTGTGACAGTCATCCTGAGCAACCTGTCCATCACCTTGCAACATGACATTCCCCAAAAAATAGAAATTATATCCTTCATGGTGGTAAGTAGCACTCAAGGAAAATGGGGGTAGAGGCCAGAGAGGAAGGTGTATGGGTCCCCAGGAAACCACTAGACCTGGAAGATAGTAGCCCAGTTTCTTTCTCCTACTTTCATCTTAACCTTTCTTGTCCTCCAAGTAGGGGTGAGTACTGTGGGAAGGCTGGGAAATAGGGAGAGGTGCTGTTCATCAGAATCTGGTTGTTGGAAATCCCTGAGGGTTCTAGGTCCAACCCTCTTGTGAGTATGGCCCAGGATGGAGGAGGAAGAGAATGGTAAGAAAAAGTACTCATGATCCTTTTGGTCTCTGTGGGTGGGGGGTGGTTGTCACAGGAGCTAATCAGGGAGGAGCCAGTGAACTGTGTCTCCAGCTCCATTAGGCGGACGGCCATGAACATCATCACTGACTTCAGGTAACAGTATTCCATCCTTTCTTTATTTTTTGATTCCTTGACTCTTTCTTGACTTGATTTCAACTCTTTAACCCTCCCTACCTCTCTCTCATTTTCTGTGTTGGCTTCCAGTATAGGGGTCCCCTGGCAGTAGTAGACATCTACCAGACAATGTCATTTTCTTTTGCTAGGATTTTTTGGGGAGGGATTTTCTGAGCATCTGGCAGAGAGTGCTTCTTCCTTTCCTGCAGGTACTTGCTGTCATTTCTGCCCCAAACTTCCTTTTGCTTTCTGGGCTGTCCCTAACTAAACACTTCTAGGTCTATTCCTGACCTTTCAGTTCCCTCAGAACATCTGGGGGACAAAAAAAGTGTTGTTATCCCAAATCATCAGGTGCCCTTGCCTCTGTCAGGCATGCTTGCTGTCTATGTTTCACTTTCCACTTCCTGATCCTCTTTACCTTATCATTTCTTCCCTTTTCCTCTTCCAGTTACCTCTTCTTCGGGTATCTCTTGATTCCTTCTCCTGCCTGACTCTGTTTCTACCATCTCTCTCTGTATTATTACATCTTTTCTCCTTCAGCTGTTATTCCTGACATTCAGTGGTTGCATCTTTGCTTCATCCTGGATCTTAGGAATTTCAAGCCTCTCTTAGAACCAGAAAACACAGTAGAGGTGCTTCAAACATGCTTCAAGAGTGTGCTCTCCCTGCCATCCTCCAGCGTCATACGGAAAGAAGCATCTAGTCCCAAGGAGGGCCAGGCCAGTGTGGTAATTAACTTTTTGTTGGTTGTTCTTTCTTTTTTATTTTCAAAAGGGTGAGAGTATAGACTTTGGCATTTTATGAAAAATCTGCCTTTAATAAAACAAAATTACTGAAAAGAAGACCTCTTATGAAGAAGAGATTAGAGGTTAGGCAGTCTGAACTCTACCCATGAGATTTACTTCCTATTTTGGGGCACTCATTACTCACCTTTTATTAAAAGGCCCAAAGGTGAATACTTGCTTGGTTCTTTCCTTTATAACTGTCATATGATCGAAACCAGGCTGGATGGTTCACATATGATTTACTAAAAACCCTTAGATAAATAAGTTCCTGGGAATCTCAGTAATAAGAGATCTGAGTTCATTTCCTATAGGGCTTTTGAGGGAGGAAAGGGCTCAGTATTTAAATTTGCATTTTTGTTCCACTCCTAGGAACTCTATTGTATTCTTTGATTATTCTTTCATCTTGACTGGCTATTCTTATTTTATTGATGCCATGGTCTCTTGAATTTTGGAATGATAGTAAGAATGTGTTTTTTTTTTCAGTGCTAAGAATGGAAATGAGGGCTTCACACATGCTAGGCAAGCACTCTCCTACAAAGCTACATGCCTAGTCAATTTTTTTTTTTTTTTTTTGGTACCAGGGATTGAACCTAGGGGCACCTTACCACTGAGCCACATTTCAACCCTTTATAATATTTTATTTAGGGCTAGGGTCTTGCTGAGTTGCCTAGGGCCTTGCCATTGCTGAGGCAGGCTTTGAACTCAAAATCCACCTGCCTCAGCTCCTGAGCCACTGGTATTACAGGCGTGCATCACTGCACCCGACTGATGAGAATTTTTTTCAAAATAAAGTTTTCCTGAATTATAGTGGTTTCCTTTAGGATCAGTTGGTCTGTTTGTTTATGTTAGCCTTTTTTTTTTTAAAAACTCTCTCTGCCTCTCTCCTATATGTCCCCCGAGACCAAATCCCATGAGTTCTTACTTGTTTTTTTTTCAAGGAAGAGAATATCTGGAGTATATATTTAGATAACTTCTAAAATTAAATAGTACATGAGAGTTAACATTAATGAGCCTTTAGACATCTGAAAATAATATCCTTTTCTCATGTTTATTTTGGCAGGGTATAAAGATTCTGGTTTGTAAATTATTTTAGATAGAAATAATTTACCTTCATTTTTTGAATTAATGTTTTAATTGTATAAATTTACGAGTCTTCTCATCAAATGTTCAAGGATCCTTCTTAGTTCATATTTCCTTTAGATCTCAAGGAATAACTGGTATATATGAGATGTGCCATGGACTTCCCCAAGTGATGTTCCCATAAGGCTTTCCTCATGTACTTCTGGTTAGGGTGGGGAGGGCATTTTGACTAGGCTTACCTGCTCAAGACTGACTAGGAATCCCAGATGCCCAGTAGGAATGGCTTTAATCTGGAGGTAGATTTCTTTTCAATACTTCATTACACAGAGAGCTGCCTTTCCTTCTCATTTCCCTTCTTGGAGGTATACAACTATCTTGTAAGAAGCCTTTGGAGGTTGATAACCTACTTTCTTCACAAATTTTGGCTTAGAAGCAGAATTAGTATTTCTGGTCAGAGCCACTTAGTTCACTGCAGAGCAAGAAGGAGTAATCCACTGTCCCAGTTTTTGTGAATCAGTTACCCTGCAGACGGGTAGTCTGGCTCTCTTTCCCCTGGAGCCAGCTGGCCTCCTGGACCCTGAGAATGAGGTAGCACCCCCTGCCAGCAGAGGCCCAGAAGGAGCTTAGCATGGAGAACAGGGAATGGAGGAATTCCAGGGTAGGCTGTGATATCAGAGAACTTCCAGCCCACTGGGAGTAACTGCATACTAGGCTGATGTGTGCTCTTGTGAATATGACAAAGGAATTATCCAAGTTGCAGGAAGTGGCACTTGGAAATGTGGGTAAACTTGTGTGGCAGAACTGAGCAATAAAGCTTCCTGAGGAAAAAGAGTGTCAACTGGAAGTTAGAGGAGCTGATAGCTCAGCAATGCTCTGAGTCCCTCTTCCCTCCTCAGGAACTATTCAGGGAGACCTTGCAATCTCTTCGAAGAGTAATGGAAGCACTCGTCACTGAGAAGGCCACTCAGATCCACATCTGCTTGCAGGTCAGTGGAAAGGAACCCTTGAATGTTGATGTATTTGTTCCTAGGGGTACCTTATAATGTACCTTAACTGTCTGGCTTCAAAGGGCTAAAAACTCCAAATCAAGGTGCTGGCAAGGTTGGCTTCTACTGGAGGTGCCAATAAAGAATCTGTTTCATGTCTCTCTCCTGGCTTCTGTGTTTCCTGGCAATCCTAGGTATCCCTTGATTTTGAACACATATCTTTCTAATCTCTGCCTCTAACCTTCATTCACAGAGCAGGTTCTCTCTCTCTCTCTCTCTCTCTCTCTCTCTCTCACTCTGTGTGGTGTGTGTGTGTGTGTGTGTGTTTGTGTATGTACGCTTGTGCATGTATGTTCTTTTAATAAGGACAGCAATCACTTCAACTTGATCACATTTGCAAATACCCTATGACCAGATAAAGGTCACAGTCTGAGGTCTAGGTGGATATGAATTTTGTCAAGCCATTTGAGTTGGGAACAGAATGGCCGGGGGTGGGGGCAGTATAAGAGGTAGAACCAAGGAGGAAGGTTGGGTGTAGAGTGTTGAGGGAAGGCAGGGATGAGGGCTAGGGTCCAAATGATGTTAGTCTGCCCTGTGGAGGAGAAGCTTCCTTCCTCCCTTTTACCCACTACCAGAACCATCTTCTCTACCAGCTGCTCTCTGCTCCTTCATATAAAGGTTAGAAGTACGGGGCTCTGGCTTTCATATATTGCAGTTCCAGATTCTGGTCCTGTTGTTAGATATGTGGCCTTGGAGAGTTATTTGTCTTGACCTCTGTTTTCTCTGAGATGAAAACTATACAAGTCATTTTGGTAACCAAGTGAGACCATGTTTTGGCTCAAAGGAATGAAGTGCGAGTTCAAGTAATTTATCTATTTTTGAATTTGATTGTTTGTCTTTTTTATTGATATGACTTACTTGATGTTAATATCAATGTGATACTTTGGCCTTCTTTTGAATATTCTATTCCCCATTCTCCTATGAAGCTTAGGTTCTTTTTGTTGTCAGAATATAGAAACTAAGGGATATTGTCATAATATTTTGTTAAAAGTTTGAGGTAATTATTTCTCTGTGTTTATAGTGTCAAATTGACAGAATTTTGATTTATTTGTTTTAAACTTCAGGGTTTCTTTATTATATAATTGAAGATTTTGATTATGTAAAGATTTATATAATAAATTATGTAAATTAAAGATTTATATAATTAAAAGATTTCACGACTTTCAAATGAAGATTTATTTGGAATAGTCTTCTCTGGGCTGACTTCCCTTGGCCCAGGTCTCCTCCACCCCAATCTGTTCCCCTTGTTTGTAGTGAGGGGCATGGGAATGGGGTTTCTGAGATTTATGACTAGTAGTGGTCCTTCTAGAAGTTCTTTCTGGTTGGATTTTTAAAAGGGCCACTGCAGGGGGGATTCCTTCTAGTTTAATTAAGTGCTGTCTGGATGTGGAAAGATGCCATTGTGATTGAAGAGAGTGACTTGTTTGCTGTTGGGCTCCATAATATGGCTGCCCTCTGAAGGCTTTCTTTTCCAATTTGGTTTTAAGTTGTTTGTGCTGTTTTAAGCAGTCTTATGCACTTCAAATTTTGTCTGTCTTTACAACAGTTTTTAAGTGGGTGAGCTTAAGAGAATATCTACTCTCCTGCCCTGTCTTTTTCTCTTTATTGCCCCTCTTCCCTTATCCACAGGACAGGGTTAGGGCACCCTGAGTTCTGTTTCCTATTCTGGTAACCTATCTTGCAGTCTTTCCAGGTCTCAGTCTATGAAGTATCAAGTCTTAGAGCATTTATTTTGTCACCCAGTTCTCAATTTTGCTTTTAGTTGCTGCCTCCTTTCTGTGTTTTGAGGAGATTTGGAGTTGCTACCTACCTCACTTCTGCCATCTTCCTGAATCTACAGTGGGGAGATTTCCAGCATCTAGATTGGGAAAATATTGGGGGCTGAGAAAATGAAGGTCTCTGTTGCCAGACTCACATATAGGTCTGCTTCTGGAAAAGAAGTCTGGCTCTCAGAAGTACGGCTGTGATACTTTGTGGAAACCAGACCCCAAGTTGACTTTCTGGGTTCTGGAATGTAGCTAATCAGACCTCTCCTTCCATTCTTTTCTCCCTGTAGGTACTAAACACGTGGCTTAACTCCCTGAAGGACAGTGAACGGGAACGGGCCATGTGGTGTGCTGCCCGTATTCTTGGCTTCACTGCGAAAATGAATAACTTTGAAGTGAGTGGGTACCTGCCCTGGAGCCTGGGCTGTGGTGCTTCCTCTGATCACCCCTATGCTAAATTTCATCGTAGCATCTGGCCTCAGTCACCAGCCTTACCTCCTGACTCCTGACTCCTTATTGTACTTTCTGTAGAGCACCGTCTTGTTTTCTCCTTTCTCCCTGTTTCCTTTCCTCACCAGCATCTGTTGTTTTTTCTTCCTCCACCAATTCATTTCCATTCTACCCGGTTCACTCTGCATCTTTCAACAAGCAATCACTGAATGCTTACCTGGATGTCAGGCACCATGCCTAGGTGTTCCAGTGGATGTCTAGGGCAGTTCTCTGTCCTCTTGAATATTACAGTCCACTGAAAGAGAGAGGTGTGCATAGAACAGACTGAAATAGAAGGTGATGATGGGTACATAAATCAAATGTGGTGGGGGAAAAAATACCAAAACACAAATGATTGAGAGGAATTAGGGTAGGTTTTATAGAAGAGGAAGCATTTGAGCCAGGCATGAAAAATGAGTGGGATGTCAAGAGGCAAACAATAGGGAAGAATCTAACATTATTCCAAAACTGTGACCTTGTATAGCGTTATAGCCCCAATTCACCTGTCAATTTCATTTATGTCATATGTATGTGTGTGTACATAATCCAAACACACATATATGTATGTGAATATGTATGTGTGTATATATATATGTGTATACATATATACACACATATATGTGTGTCTCATATTTTTCATATATATGCTGGAAATGGAACCCAGGACCTTGTCATGCTAAACAAACACTCTACCACTGAGTTATACCTTCAATTCATGTCCATTTCACCTAGTCTCTGGCATATGGATCTCTTCCTCCTAGTCATTTTCCTGGGATAACCCAGACTAAAGGAATGGCTGGGTTAACTGTGACTTTCAACTCTCCTACCTAGGTAGAAATTCAGTTTACCTGGCTGGGGTGCCTGGTAAGGCTGCTGGCCATACGTTGTCAGGACCCAGTGGACAACATCTGCTTCTTGTCTGCCCAGGCTGTCTACAACCTCTACTGTATCCTCCAGCAGCAAAAGCGTATGGGGAGCCTTCTCTCCCCACTCCTGCTCCAGCCTCCCACTTAGGCCTAGCCATCCCCACATGCTCTGTTCCTGAAGAGAGAAAGCCAAGAATTCACCTGAGTTCCTAACTGAAAAACCTGCTCCAATATTTGCAGATATTTTGCCCCTCTTTGGATAAAGTAACTGCTTGGGAAACAGTTCTTTTCCACCAGTTTCTACCCAATTCTGTGTCTGTCTGACACAGGCAAAGTGGGGATTTCTTTGACCTTAGTTCTTAGCATTCCTTGTTTTAATGTCCATTCCTCTTTCCCAGCCCCATGGGACATGCATCTCTCAAAGATGGCTGTTTAATTCAGTGTTTGGGGTTAGACTGGGATCCCTGAAAGGTGGGAAAGGGGAGCTTAAGAAAACTTCTTGGTATCTGAGAGGTGGAATTGGGTTTCTTTGTTTCAGAGGTGACAAGGAAAAAACAAGGCTTATGGGAAGAAGAGGACAAAAATGAGGTCTATAGTGCCAATGTATTCTATAACAACACCTATAGAATTGCCAAGGTAAGCAGGGGAGCAGAGACAAATCAGAAGAGCTGTGGCTCTCACTTACATTGTACTACAAACCCCTTGGGTAGGACTCTCATCCCACTTACCTTCTTTCTCAATTGCTGGATGTAAATGTTTTATTTGGGGGAAATTGCCCATGCAGTGTAAGGCACAGTTCTGGGAGCAACAACATGCTTTCCTTGGAGCATCATGGATACTAATTCTTCTTGATTGCTCATATCGCAGAAACATTTATTTTGATACTTTGTGAACAATGTGTAGGCCCAATGCAAACATGGAACAGATGTCACTAATGATGTGACCTCCAGCCTCTCTCTGCCACTGCTGAGACTCTGCAGCCTCTACCTCTGAGTCCCACATTGCCTGGAGTTCACTGTTTTCTCCTTCAGATCCCCAAAGACTCTGTTTCCAGTTTAAGTGTCCTCTAGGAGCTGGGCAAGTAAGACAGGCCAAGGATAAAAGTGCATCTTGCTCCCAAGCAGGGTTCTTCCTTGTTCCATGACCAGGAAGGACATCCCAAGACCTAACAGGCAGGAGGCCTGCCCAGACTGATGTCCTTGTTTCAGGCATTTGCAGAGTACTTCACCCAGATCCAGCTCACCAACCTTGTGCTGACAGCCGTGAATGACCTAACTGACAGCGAGTCCAAGGTGTCTCTGGCTGCAGCCCAGCTAATGAGTGCAGTTATGAAAGAACGGGGAAGAGACATGCTAAAGGTAGTGTGGAGCTGTGGCAGGCTCCTGAAAACAGGAACCCTGGCTTCTTTCCTGACTCTGTTATTAACTAGCTAAAGGGCCTCACGCAAGTCCTCCCTCCCCCCCCCCCCCCCCCCTTTTTTTTTTTTTTGGCTTAGTTCACTCACCTACAACTTGTATCCTTGGACTGGATTTTCCCTCTGGTTCCTGTGAGCTCTGCTTCCTCTCTTGGACAGGTGGCTTCTGGCTCCACAGTTAACAACAGAGATGTATACAGGTGTAGGCATATGGAGGACTCAACAGTAGAGTAACCAAGGAACCTCCTCTGTAGGCTTTGGGGTTGTGGGCAGGCATCTGGATTGGTACTTCTGAACTTCATTCTGTGGCGCCTGCTGGTATGGCCCCTGGCAGGGCACTGGCAAGATTACAACAAAGGACCCCTTGAATTTGGGGAAACTTAAATTGGTAGGGGACAAAAGCTGAAAGGAAGGAGTTAGGGAGACTTTTGGTTCTCCCTGCAGATCGAGGAGATTGTGGAGTGCATTCTTGAACGGCTCAACTCTCAGCTGGAGCCCAGCACAAAGGAAGAAACCCTACAGGCCATGAGCTCACTAGCAGGCAGCAACACCCACACCGTGGTGCCCATGCTGCTCAACAAACCCCTGCCTTGGGATAGGTACCTCTTCATCGTCTTCTGCTCAGTAGATCTTCTCCCCATCCACCTCAAATACAACAAAAATCACCCCTCTAGGGTGCTTTCTGTCTCCCTCCTTTCTGTTTTGTCCCAGTCATGTTCTTTGGCCTGTCTACTTGGGTCTCACTCCCTCCAGCCCCTGAGAACTGGTGGTTTTTCATGGGCCTGATAATAAACTAGTCCTAGGAGCATGATCACCAGGGCCTGTGACATAGCTTTCCCTGGGTCCTACAGAACCCAACTGGCCCTGTGGAAGGCATTTGGCACCCAGCGAGAAACAACAATAAATGTTCTGCAGCTGCTTATGGGCATCTTGGAGAAGACCTACGCCAGAGAAGAACGGAAGGAGATGTCCTTCCAGCCTGTGGCGGTCAGTACAAAGGAAGGGAGGGGGTCCTGGACTTAGTGTTCTAGGAACCTGTGGGCAGAGCTGAAGACCCAAGGGCTTGGCCTGAGTGGCCAAGCAGGCTTTGGGGAGGAGCAAAGAGAAGAGTGTTAACATTGGAATCACTGATGCACTTCGGCCTCCTTTTTGTATATTTATACCAAGGACTGCAGAAAGGCAGGACAAGGAAATTGATATGCAAGGTTAAACAGCTTTTTTTGTACCCTGATTCTATGCTGGGATCATTTTGATGAAGGCCTAATGTGGGCACGGGGGAATGGAAGATAGTCATTTGGTCATAAATTGGGGTAGACAGAGTTTGCCCTAATTTATCTTCTGCTGAATGGATTACCTCTCATTTTCCCTTACTGTGTTTCTTCTTCCCTGTCTCCCTCCCTCCTTTCCTCTTTTCGTTCTTTTATGAAGATATGGGGTCTTGCTATGTTGCCGTGTCTTACCCTAAAATCCTGGGCTCAAGCAATATTCCTGCCTCAGCTTCCCAGTTAGCTGGGACTATAGGTGTACCTTATTACCTTTCATTTTCTAGTGTCAGATGAACAGAAAAGAAAGTAGATTGCATATGTATTGTCCCCTCATTTCTTTAGGGAGGAGTATTGGTTTCCAGACTGAATCAGAGTGCAGTATGGCTGTGGGGTAGGGCAGGGTTGCAGCCTGGGCTTTCCAAGTGAAGAGTCTGAGTGGTTGTGGCCCAGGCTTGGCCATTTGCCTTCCCCTTCCCAGGTAGCATGTGCCTTGTGTGAGATGCTCTCAGAGACCATATGCCAGGAGGCTGTTCAGGAGCTATACCCACGACTATTGCTGTCTGTGCTGTGCCACCTCTACTGGGTGATTGAGCAACGTTCTCCACAGAAGATGGTGGTTTACACCAAGGAGGGGTCCCCAGGTGGCAAGAGCAAGCCTTTTGACCCCACTGGGTAAGCCCAATCTCCAAGTGATGGAGCACCGAAACTAACCAGTTTCTGAGAGCCCTGCTAATCCCTTTGAGAGGACGAGAGCAGTAGAGGGGGGAGATAGACCATGGGTGTGGGTGCTGGAGCATGCACTCTTGTACTGACTCACACAACAGTTCATGCCCATGAACCAGTCACTGCACATGAAAAGATTCAGTTTAGATGGCAAGTGATGGGATAAGACTGTCATTTTCTTCAGGTGAGTTGGGCCATTTCAATCAGTCTTGGCTTTGTGCACCAGCTGTGTCATCTTGTACAAGTCATCACTAAAACTCAGTTTACTCATCTGTGAAATGGGGTTTGGATACCCAAATATATTATTTTATCACATGGAAGTGAAAACAAATTACTGCCAATAAAGCAGAGACATTCTGAATAGGTGGATGTGGAGGTAAAGAGAGATCCTAACCCTGCTTCTGTTTCTTAAGAGAACAGAACTTGAGAACTCTCTGTACTATCTATTATAGTCTCTTTCACAAAACTCTGTGGAGGATCACACTTGGAGGGGAGAGTGGATGAGCAATTGGAGTTGGGTTCCGTGGAGCTGTGAATTTTGTTGGCAGGAAAGCCAAACATAGCAACCAGAGCCAAGAACTATAACCTAGCTTGCCAACAGAGGGTTTGCAAACCAGGACACAACACCTTATATATCCCTCTGGTCCCTTCTTTTTCATAAACTCAATTGCGGTGGCCTTCAGTTGTGCCTTGGAGGTAGTCAAATTGGTGTTCAAGGCGGCTGCGTATGATGAAGTGGTAGTCTATGCCAGTGAACATCAATGCTGGGAACTCCTGTCCAGCCCTAAATCTTACTACATAGGTATCATGGACTTGACAAGGTGGGACCATTTCCCCAGCACCCCTGAAAACTCCAGACTCTGACTCCAGTCTCCCAGATTCCTTTGACTCTACCTTCCCCGTCTCCAAGCCCTCTGGTCTTCTGATCTCACAACCCTCATATCTTCCCTGTCCTGTGCATTCTGGTCTTGGTTACTCCTCTCCACTTCCAGCAACTTCTGGTTTCATATGTTCCTTCCCAGTGGCATCGTGAAGAATTGTGAACCCTTTATCCTGCACCGAATTGTGAGCCATGTCAGGAACCTACTCTATAGCTCGGATGATCATCAGAAGGTCATGGCCAGGACCTTCTATGTGCAGGTGAGGGGAGAGGTCACCAACTCCAGCCATTAATTTGCTGCAGTTGAGGATTATGTAACAGAGTGTTAAGTAATTTGCCCCAGAAAGGACAAAAGAATAGAATCAAGCCGTTAAAAATGGGTTCCCTTCCCTGCTACTTCAGTGGCCTGGTTAAAAGAGGCATGAAAAACTGGAGAGGAGGTTATCAGATCTAGAATAATCATGAATCTGAGCATCAGATTAAAAATTCCAGCCTCATCTCTATCATGAGGCTAAATTCTCACCCTTAATCTCTTCACCCCTATGTACAAATCTGTACTGCTCTCAACTGGACATACTCCTGACATGAGCATGGCACCTGAGGATGCACTAGATGAGTTCTGAGTACTCATAAACTTTTTTCCATCCATAATTTCCTTGTCCCCACAGCTCCTCTGGCACTCGTCAGTAGCAAAGATAATAGGGCAAGACTTTGTGGGTGATCTAATCAGATGGATCAAGGAGCCCAACCTCATCATGAAGGAAATTGGTCTTCGAGGAATCAGTAACCTGGCACTACACCCAGGAAATGTGAGCCAGTAGGACCCAAAGGATCCAATGCTAGTCCTTGAGCCTTTGATTCACCTTCCATGGGTCTCTCAGCAGTACAGGAATTTATGAATTTCTCACTCCCTCACCCCAGGGCATCACAACATTTAGGTTTTAGACCTCCATCCATTTGTCCTAAAATCGCTCCAATACCATCAAGCCTTCCCTTTCCATTCCTTGAAAATCACCTTTGATTTCCCAGGTGGTTTGCCTTATGCACCATCTGCTTTCTCAAAACCTGGTTCCCAGAATGTTGTTTAATCCCCAGAGTGATGAGTGATCTCTGCCTTCTTCCAAATAGTCAGAGATACTTCAGAGCCTGGTTCCACTTTTGCGAGACTTACTGAATAACGAGGTGCGAGTAGCAGTGCAAGCAGTGAAGACCCTGCGGAATATCATCTACCACGGGCAAGGGGAGGACACCAAGGTGGTCTTTTGTAACATCTCCAGGCAACTGCGTCAGCTCATCAATGATGTATGGGTCTAAGTTCCTGGATTAGTTGGGAACAGTGTGGGCTGGGACTGAATATGAACCTCAGAAGCTGAACTAGGGATATTGAGTTGGAGTTTAGGGATGATGGTGGAACACTGAGCTAACTGAGGGGCAGAGAAAAGGAGATTTGGCAGGATGTACCCCAAATATATCCCTACCACACACAACTGTCCATTTACTCTCACCATATGTTCCCCAAAGGAGCCGCTGATCCAACAATACAAATGTAGCATAATGATACGTTGGTTCTGAGTCCCAGTGTCTCCTGCAGATTCCATTCATGACATGAAGGGTGGAGAGAAGATAATGACCCTACTCTCCTCCCAAATAATACAAGGTCCTTAGAATGCTTGGGTTCTTGTGGCAAAAGAAATTTGAGACTCATAAATGATTTTATAATTATAATGCTTTCAGTTTTCATATGACAATGTCTTCAATTTGCCTAGCTTTCTTCAGGATTCAGTGGGTTATAATACATCTAGGCATACATTTGATTCTTTTTAGCCTGTTTAGGGTTCACCAATCTATATCTTCTACTAGGAAAATTTTTAGTTTTTTTTGGTGTTTGTATTGCATTTAAATTACATGCAATATATTTATTTTCACATATTAATTCAAGCACATCACATAATTTGGTCCATTTCATTCCCCAATACTACTTCCCCAATACTACTACTTTCTCTTCCCTTCTTCCCTATTCCTCGTCCCCTTCCTCTGCTCTACTGGTTATCCTATTTTCATGTGATTTTTTTCCTCCTTTTTCTTTTTTTCTATCTGTATTCCACATATGAGAGGAAACATATGACCCTTAACTTTCTGAGGCTGACTTATTTTGCTTATCATTATGTTCTCAAGTTGTATCCATTTTCTTGCAAATGATATATATTCATTCTTCTTTGTGGCAAAACAATACTCCATTATGTATTTATATCACATTTTCTTTATCCATTAATTTGTTTATGGATACCTAAGGTTGGTTCCTTATATAACTTGGCTATTTTGAATCATGCTATAAATATGGATATGACAGATAATATAGAGTGGTATAACTGGATCATCTGGTGGTTGCATTCCAATCCTTTGAGGAAACTCTGTACTGATCCCCATAGTGGTTATAGTATTGCTATTTGTATTTACGATACCAGCAACAGGGTAAAGTTTTCCTTTTCCCCCACATTTTTACCAACATTTATTATTATTTGTAATTTTGATATTGCCATTGAAGTAGAGTGTGATGAAATCTCAGTTTAGTATTGTTTTGCATTTCCCTGATTGTTAAGATGTTGAACATTTCCCCTATATTTGTTAGTGAATTTGTTTTTCTTTTGAGAAATGTTTGGTTGATTTTCCTGTTTATTGATTGGGTTATTATTTTTTTTTTTGGTGGTAAGTTTTTTGAGTTCTTTATTCTGGATATTAATCCTCTGTCAGAAGAGTAGCTGGCAAAGATTTCCTCCCACTCTGTAGACTCTATTCACACTCTTAATTATTTTGTTTGCTGCGCAGAAGCTTTTAATTTGGGACCATCCCATATATTAATTCTTGACATTGTTCCCTGAGTGTTAGGAGTTCTACTGATAAAGTCATTGGTTCTGCCTTTATGTTAGAATGTTGATCCTATATTTTTGTTTTTCAGCAGTTGCAGGGTCTTTGATCCATTTCAAGATGACTTTCAAGCAGGGTGTCAGATGGAGAATTAGTTTCATTCTTCTATATATAGATGCCCAATTTTCCCAAAACATTTGTTAAAAAGTCTGTCTTTTCTCTAACATAGGTTCCTGGCATCTTTGACAAGGATCAGATGACTCTATCTGGGTGTGTTTGTTTTCTGTATCTTCTAGTCTATTCCATTGGTCTATGTGTCCGTTTTCATGTAAGTTCCATGCTGTTTTTATCACTATAATTCTGTATGCTTTGAAATAGAATATTTCAAATAGAATACCTCCAGTATTGCTATTTGTATTCAGTATTGTTTTGGTCTTGAGCGTCTTTTATTCCTCCATATGAATTTTTTGGGTTTTTCTTTTTCTATGAAGACTGTAATTAGTATCTTGATGGGGATTTCATTGTATTTGTAGACTGCTTTTGATAATATGGCCATTTTTTATGCAGAAATACAAATATTATTTATTTCTCTTTGATAACCCAGTAAAACTTTTAAAATTTATTTATTCTAATTTGTTATATATGACAGCAGAATGCATTGCAATTCAAAGTACACATATAGAACACAATTTTTCATGTCTTTGGTTGTACACGAAGTAGAGTTACATGATTTGTGACTTCATACATGTATTAGGGTAATGATGTCCATCTCATTCCACCATCTTTCCTACCCCCCTGCCCTCACCCTACCCCTCCCTCCCCTTTGCCCTATCTAAAGTTTCTCCATTCCTCACATGCTCCCCCTGCCATCCCCATTATGGATCAATATCCTCATATCAGAGAAAACATTCAGGATTTCATTTTAGGGATTGGCTTACTTCACTTAACATAATAGTCTCCAACTCCATTCATTACCTGCAAATGCCATCATTTTATTCTCTTTTAATGCTGAGTTATATTCCATTGTGTATGTATACCACAGTTTCTTTATCCATTTATCTGCTACTTCAGTGGCCTGGTTAAAAGCGGTTGTTGGTTCCTCTATCTTAGCTACTGTGAATTGTGCTGCTATAAACATTGATGTGGCTGTGTCATTATAGTATGCTGTTTTTAAGTCCTTTGGGTATAAACCAAGGAGTGGGATAGCTAGACCCAAATGGTGGTTCCATTCCCAGTTTTCCAAGGAATCTCCATACTGCTTTTTATATTGGTTGCACCAATTTGCAGTCCCACCAGCAATGTATGAGTGTGCCTTTCTCCCACACCGGCATTTGTTGTTGTTGTATTCTTAATAGCTGCCATTCTGACTGAAGTGAGATGAAATCTTACAGTACTTTTGATTTGCATTTCTTTAATTGCTAGAGATGTTGAACATTTTTTTTCATATATTTGTTGATTGACTATATATCCTCTTAGAAGGGTCTGTTCAGTTCCTTGGCCCATTTATTGATTGGGGTTTTTTTTGGTGTTAAGATTTTATTTTTATTATTTATAAGTGACAGTGGAATGCATTACAATTCTTATTACACATATAGAGCACAATTTTCATATCTCTGGTTGTATACACAGTATATTCATTCCAATTCATGTCTTCATTCCTGTACTTTGGATAATAATGATCATCACATTCCACATCATTAATACCCAGGCCCCCTCCCTTCCCCTCCAACCCCTCTGCCTTATCTGGAATTTGTCTGTTCCTTCCCTGCTCTTGCTCCCTATCCCACTATGAATCAGCCTCCTTATATCAAAGAAAACATTCGGCATTTGGTTTTTTGGGATTGGCTAACTTCACTTAGCATTATCTTCTCCAACTCCATTCATTTAACTGCAAATACCACGATTTAATTCTCTTTTATTGGTGAGAAATATTCCATTGTGTATATATGCCATATTTTTAAATCCATTCATCTATTAAAGGGCATCTAGGTTGTTTCCACAGTTTAGCTATTGTGAATTGTGCTGCTATAAACATTAATGTGGCTGTGTCTCTGTAGTATGCTGTTTTTAGGTCCTTTGTGTATAGACTGAGGAGAGGGATAGGTGGGTCAAATGGTGGTACCATTTCCAATTTTCCAAGAAATCTCCATAATGTTTTCCATATTGGCTGCACCAATTTGCCTTCGCACCAGCAGTATATGAGTGAATCTTTCTCCCCCATCCTTGCTAACAATTATTGTTGTTTTTATGCATAATAGCATGTTAACGATGTTAAGACACGTTCCTGTTATCCCTAGTTTTTCTAGTGTTTTGAACATAAAGGGGGTGCTGTATTTTGTCAAATTCTTTTTCTGCATCTATCAAGATGATCATATGATTTTATCTTTAAGTATATTGATGTGATATATTACATTTATTGATTTCCATATGTTGAAACAACCTTACATCCCCCGGATGAATCCCACTCGATCATGGTGCACAATCTTTTTGATATGTTTTTGTATTCAATTTGCCAGAATTTTATTGAGAATTTTTGCATCTATGTTTATTAGAGATATTGGTCTGAAGTTTTCTTTTTTTGATGTGTCTTTGCCTGGTTTTGGAATCAGAGTGACATTGACCTCATAGAATGAGTTTGGAAGTGCTGCCTCTTTTTCTATTTCCTGAAATAAATTGGAGAGTATCGGTATTAGTTCTTCTTTAAAGGTCTTGTAGAACTCGGCTCTGTATCTGTCCAGTCCTGGGCTTTTCTTGGTTAGAAGACTTTTGATATGGTGTCTGCTATTTCATCACTTGAAATTGATCTGTTTAAATTGTGTATGTCATCCTGATTCAATTTGGGAAAATTATATGACTCTAAAAATTTGTCAATGCCTTTGATATTTTCTATTTTATTGGAGTACAAGTTTTCAAAATAATTTCTGATTATCCTCTGTATTTCTGTAGTGTCTGTTGTGATATTTTCTTTTTCATCATGTATTTTAGTGATTTGAGTTTTCTCTCTCCTTAATCAGCATGGCTAAGGGTCTGTCGATTTTACTTATTTTTTCAAAAAACTAACTTTTTATTCGTCAATTTTTAAAAATTGTTTCTTTTATTTCAATTTCATTGATTTCAGCTCTGATTTTAATTATTTCCTGTCTTCTGCTGCTTTTGGTGTTGATTTGTTCTTTTTCTAGGGCTTTGAGATGTAGTGTAAAGTCATTTATTTGTTGACTTTTTATTCTTTTAAGGAATGAACTCCAATGCAATGAACTTTCCTCTTAAAACTGCTTTCATAGTGTCCCAGAGATTTTGATATGTTGTATCTGTGTTCTCATTCACCTCTAAAAAGTTTTTAATCTCCTCCTTGATGTCTTCTCTAACCCATTGTTCATTCAGTAGCATATTATGTAGTCTCCAGGTGTTGGAGTGGATTTTATTTCTTATTTTATCAT